ACTAGTGATGGAGGTGTGCCCGACCTCAGGCCACCGCCTGCATCTCTGCTTCCTCCACCAGACTATGCTGAGGTAAGAAACTGACTTCTGTATCCCTAGCAACTGATACATAATTGATGCTTGATAATGTTACCGGAGTCTCATCTCTTGCTTAAAACTCTCCAGTTCTGAAAAAATTTTCTCCTCCTATGGTATCTGATTCCTCCGTTGAAGGAAATGTGTTATTTTTTCCCCTTTTTTATTATTTTTATTTTTTAATCCTGTTTCCAAATTTATTTTTTTATTAACATATAATGTATTACTAGCCCCAGGGGTACCGGTCTGTTTATCGCCAGGTTTACACACTTCATAGCACTCACCATAGCATATACCCTCCCCAATGTCCCTATCCCCTCCCGGCAACCCTGTTTGTTTTATGAGATTAAGAGTCTCCTAGGGTTTTTCTCCCTTCCGATCCCATCTTTTTTCATTTATTCCTTCCCTACCCCCGTCCTGCCTCTCAACTCCCTCCTATCAGGGAGCTCATATGATAATTGTCTTTCTCCAATTGACTTATTTCGCTAAGCAGGATACCCTCTAGTTCCATCCACGTCATCGCAAATGGCAAGATTTCATTTCTTTTGATGGCTGCATAGTATTCCATTGTGTATATACACTACATCTTCTTTATCCATTCATCTGTTGATGGACATCTAGGTTCTCTCCATAGTTTGGCTATTGTAGACATTACTGCTGCAAACATTAGGGTGCACGTGCCCCTTCGGATCACATTTGTTATCTTTAGGGTAAATACCCAGTAGTGCGATTGCTGGGTCACCGAGTAGCTCTATTTTCAACTTTTTGAGGAATCTCCATGCTGTTTTCCAGAGTGGCTACCAGCTTGCATTCCCACCAAGAGTGTAGGAGGGTTGCCCTTTCTCCACATCCTCGCCAGCATCAGTCATTTCCTGACTTGTTAATTTTAGCCATCCTGACTGGTGTGAGGTGGGATCTCACTGTGGTTTTGATGTGTATTTCCCTGATGCCGAGTGATGTGGAGCACTTTTTCATGTGTCTGTTGGCCATCTGGATGTCTTCTTTGTAGCAATGTCTGTTCCTGTCCTCTGCTCAGGAAATGTGTTTTTAAAAGTAATTCTTACATTGGAATCTGGAGTACGTTAGCAAGTCTTAAGCAAACTTTAACCACTTGCTAGATTTCATACTGACGCCCACTGCTAGTAGGCTATTAGGTCTGTATTCAATTTCTACCGAACTCACTCTAAAAAATTCTTGTCAAATTAGGTGTGGGGAAAACTGGAAAACTGAGGGAGAGTATCTGTAAAAATTCAAAGGAATTCTGTATTTACCCTACGTAAAAGACTCTAGCAGGCATCTAAGAAATGGCAACAGGCTTCATCAAGAGTGGATGGAAAATCAATACACACCTAAAATCAAGGAATTAAGGCATTCATAATTTTTGATTTCCCAGTATAGAAAGATCTGAGGGCTTCTTTTATTAAGATATTCCTACACCCAGTATGGGGCTTGAACTCTCAGCTCTGAGATCAAGAGTCACGTGCTCTACCGACTGAGCCAGCCAGGCGCCCCAGACCTGAGGGCTTCTGCTTAAGAATCCAAGAGACAGCAGATCACAGAAGCTTCACTTCTGTGGGAGGCTGAACATGACCTGCCAACCCATGCCATCGTACCTCGAGAAAGGCTGAGAATCAATAGCACTCTTGGCCTGAAAGATGTTACCACTGTCTTCTGGATTATTTCAGGAAAACCACGGAGAGCCACTACTTGAGTGCCAACAGTAGGCTCAGCCCTACGCCTGAGGGTATGAATGAAGAGCAGCGCGGGGAAAGAGGCAAAGGGCCAAGCAGAGGACTCCCTTCAGCCACGGGCAAGGCCGGGATGGCCAGTCTGACGTGAGGATTTCACTGTCCAGGTCTAGTTCATTTCACACACAGGTATCTTACGGCTGGTATTTCCTAATCACCTAAAACACAAATTAACATGTTTTCCACAAACATGTCAACTGTGGCTAACCACAGATTACAGGTGGAAGAGACCGGAAAGGGCGTGTGGAAATACTGAAGATGCCAACGAGCTAGGAGACCCACGGGGCACCTGCAGGCAGGTGCCCTGGACACAGTCGAGACCTGATGGGCCTTTCAGGTGTTTTACACGAGAGCACATTCCGGTTCTATCTTCTGCATCTTGCCTCCACCCGAGAGTGTGTTGGAACTTTACACTCTGTGATTTGCGTTGTGGAAATAAGCAAATTAAATGCCTTTTCAAATTATGCTCATTCCCTAGGCCGCTTCCCCCAATTATTCTTCCATCATTAAGCCCAATTTATCAACAGCGAAGGACAAAAACACCCTCTTCCCCTCGCCAGAACGGTTCAAGGGCAGAGAAACGTTCAAAGGGTTAGTGGACTAAAGCCGCCGCCGCCATCTCACCACCACCATCTTCCGGGTTATCCAGCTGCCAGTGAAGCCAGAGGTGAGAACTGCAGAACCAAGCTGTGGAGAAGCATCGACATAAATACCTTTCACTGGACACGTTTTTTTAAGGGGGCGGTGGCGGGAAACCCCCGTATGATCCGACCTAGCAAAGGGTCTAAGGTGTTCATGGTTTCGAGTTCACACACACACGTGGCTGCTTGCTCACGTGGAGCGCAAACTACGCAGGCGGGTGCTCTGAAGTCCCAACGCTTAGGAGGACTGAACTGAAGGGTTAGCGCACGAGAGAGCAGCAGCTGAAGTAACTCTGTGAGAAGCGAGTGCGTGAAGCGGGGCCTACTGCCCTTTCGGTACCGGTCTGGGACCCCGGCCTTAGCCACTCCAGCAATGGAGAGCCCGCTGTGAGCAGCCCTTCGGACGGAGAAGCCGGGCCACCTAGGTGGGGCCTTACAGAACCTGAGTTCTCTAAACGTTTGGAATCCCACCGCCCAGGAGCAAAGAAGGTGCACAGGTCGCCAGTGACCGGATTACAAGTCTTCCTAAAGCTGGGTCTGGAGGCCGCGTGTTCCGCATATGGGATTTTTAGGCAGTTAAAATCCCTCAGCACTTCACTTTACAAAATGAGTAAAGCAAAACCCCTGCAGCCTGCTCAGGTGGGCGACAGTGACTATGAACGTGCAGAGGAGATAGGAGAAATACAAACGTTAGGCACGGACATCTATTCTGGGCCCTTCGATTTCTGCCTTGAACAACGGTGAAACTACTTTCTACTTTCAGCACTTCACATGATCCAGAAAGACTTCTCTCCTCCTCGACAGGTCTGTTCTCAAAAGGAGTATGGCAACCCTGAGAACAGAGGCCCTGACTATTATCCTCCATGACAACGTTTATTTGACTGAATAAACTTTATAGTTCTGAAAAGTTGGAATCAAGTCTTTAGATGATTACCTTCTCTTAGAGCATAATGCACTCTTGATCACGATTTTTGGTTCAGGACAGACTTTCTTGTTCCAGATTTTAGGAATGGATTAGAAGCTCCAAGAGTCATTATTTAGAGAATACTTTATTAGTTTCTGTAATCAAACCCATGTAGATAAGACCTTACATATTTAATACAGTGTGTTACCCCTGTACAAATGGAAAAAATTATGTTTAACATTTCTAGACCAATATGGCTGTTAATTTCTGTACAATGCCAACCCAACACGGTACAACTGGGATACTTTTTCCAAAGTTGACAGCACAGCTAAAGTTTCCAAAAATTCAAATTATTTATATATATATGTATATGTATGTATATATATATATTTTATTTATTTATTTATATAAAAAGACCAATAGCAGTATGTTATGCATCAATAGCAGCAACAGCTTTTCCAGGTTCTGCAGTCATCTGAACAAAATTAGAGAGACATCCAGCACACTCCATTAATAAAAAAGAAGAAAAAAAAAGGTAAAAAACCAAAACCCCAGAAAACAGCAAAGTTCTGTTACTGTTGTGGTACCTGGCACCATTTTTTTAATTAGCTTCTCAATCATCATCTGGAAAGAAAACATTCTAGAATAACGTCATTAAAAACAGCTCTGATAAAGCACGGTCACTATTACGTATCATAAAGCAGGTACAAGGTATTTTACATTCACAGAGGTATGATACAGTACTGTCCTACATCTATAATACTAGAAGATACAATTAAAAAGGCATTATTTGAGACTTGATTCTACTTTCCCAGCAGAGGGCCCAAAGGATGGTATGACACAGCTCTGGTGAAGAAATGCACCTTCTTCGACAGGATTTCCTTCCATTAAGGGCACAGTTCTAGGTAGTCACTGCTCTTGATGAACATCAGTTAAAAACCATTAAAAACAAACGAACAAACAAAACCCCACTGGATTCAGACAAGGTTGGCCGAGCGGAGGCAAGCCAGACTCAAACTAGTATTTTACCCAATCTGTCACGTGTGTGAAGACGTGACAGTTCCGTGGAAGAAAGGAGACGCCAAGCAGCGCGTCAAAGCTCCGGGCCGCAACCGAAACACAGCACCGTTCCCGATGGAAGCAGCAGCCAAAGCCCGCCCGCCTGGACGCGTCCGAGGGTGTGGACAGCGCGTTCCATCACCTGCTCACTCGTCCAGGAAGAAGGGGAGATCAGGGACTGCTCTTTGATTGTGTTCAACTCAATCACAATGTTACAAAAATAGCAAGCTGCCGTAATACAAAATAAGGCTCCTCTATCCAGCACCAGTTATCTTCGGTTCCCGGCCACCAAGCCCACAAATGCGACCATCACATCCAAAGCACGTAAGGGAGCAAAGACACGACACCCAGTGCATCAGCTGAGTACCCCTCGCTCGGGCCTGGCTAGTCCTCCGCGGGGTTGTGTTCCTCCTACTTCTGGTGTTTCACCGAACCGTGAGGATTTCAGTTCTAAGCGATATGCCCTCCGGGAAAGCGCCCACGAACCTGCTGTACGGATGCCGGCCAGAGCAGCACGGCCACCGCAGGGTGCGCGTTCACAGCAGGTGCACGCGAGCGAAGCCTCATTTCCCTGCGCGGCGGCTGTGTCAGTGTCAACCGCTCCTATGTCCCCCGAGCACCTCCCAGCTCTGGACAGGATAACGGCACAGGCCATTTTACCCCTCTGGCCGCTGGCATTATCCGACTTCATTCTCCCTCGTTCCCCTTTCCCCTCCCCCAACCCCCTGCCATAAACCACAGCCTTTAAGATTTTGTTTCTTCCGTTTTGATCGCCTGAGGTTTGATTGGTCCAGTTCTAACAGGTTTGGTGGCTATGGTGGGTGCGGGGGGCGGCTTTTCTTCTACTTTTTCCTGACAGACACCAGGAGGGTCGGTCAGTGTTTCAGGAGGTTTACTTGAATCACTGTCCACTTTCGGGGCTTTGCCTCCTATCTGTTTGCTCTGCTGTTGTTCAGAGAAGAACCGCTGCGTGGACTGAAGAACCTCTGCTCTCTGCTTTGCCTTAAAAAATGAGAAACAGCGACTGAGAACGCTGCAGCATGAGCGGAGCCTGTCCGTCCATCTCCGCTCACTCTTTACCGACCACAGACCCGTTCTCCCCATGTCTGGCCCAAACCAGAAGTACCTCAATGATCTTTCAGCTCTTAAAGGACAGATTTCTTCCTATCTCGGCAAATATTCCAGGCGATTTTTTTTTTTTTTAAAAACATTTGAAAACAGAACCACCTCCCACCACATTTTCCAAGTTTGCCCTCTTATAAAATAACAACACAGAAACTGCTGTTGGTCTGTAACTTTTCTGGAACAAAACTTATTGATATCAAATTCTATTTAGGGAGGCTGCTCGCAAATTTGAAGACAGATATACGTAACACGTAAAACTTCTAGTTATCAATATGTGGTCTACAATAAAACGAAAAGGAAGCACTTATATTGTGGCATTACCAACACCTAGGACCAAATGTCTTGTGGCTGAGTCCTCTTCCCACAGCTCTCTTCTGCAGGGGAAGAGCATCAGAAATTAGTAACTACGACTTCACTTGAGCACTAAGTTCTGATAGCTCCTACCACATTCTGAGCTGGTAAAATAATTTCCTACTTTTACTATGTGCCCCCAAAGAATATACTTACGTCATCTGTAAATTATACCACCGTAACATACACAATTAAAACTTAAGTTTCTGTACCTCTCGCATATAACAAGGAGCCCTTCATGTTCTACAGGAATCCTATACTATATAAAGATCTAAAGCAATTTCAAGAAAGTTTTACCCTCCCCGACCCCATTATAAACTCTAAAGTCATTTCCAGCAAAGGAAGGTCTGAAAATCAAGTTCCGAGGAGACGGAACAACAGGAAACCATGGCCAAATAGTTTCCACAGATTCCTACCCACTTTTTAACAGAGGGAAATCCTAGGCCCACAGCCTTAATAAAAGTAGATCACATTTAACAAGAGTGTCACTGCAGAGTAGTCTTTAAATGTGATTACTCAGGATGAGAAATGAGGGATATCAATGTAGAAAGAAACCAGCTCGTCAACCGAATTTTCTACAAGGATGAGCATAAACATGTTTCTGATTCAAAGTAAAGCATCACTATGGGCACTGCCCTGTTTGAAGGCAGCAAGCTTTCTCTGTTCTAGTCTGACCCGATGTATGGATGTGTATACACGTATATATAGTGACAAAACAGGCCAAATTACTAAGACCTCTGAAGTCAAGTCCAAGTAAATACAGAGCTATGGACCCGGCTGGCTGCACAGGCAGACGGTAAGGGTTATGCTAGGAAAACTGTCCCCACACAGACTCCTCAAGGCACTCTTCTGCATCAGCAAACCTCACATTTATCAGTGCCTTTTATTATGAAGGATCCCAAAGTGCTTTTTTCAGTTCTTCATCTACAACTGCACAATCTGTTGTGGAATACAGCCAACTCAGGTGGCAGGCAAAAAAAAAAAGGTATGGAAACAGTTTGAGAAGAAAACTGTACTTGCATGACTCACGAAGGAAGAAAAATCAAGATAGGTAAAATCTCTTAACCACTCTGAATTTTCACATAACCATGATTTATATCTTAAGTCGGGGGGAGGGGGTGCGGGCGCAGAGGGATAAAAGAGAAAACAAAGGAAAAAAAAAAACAAAAGAAAATGGGAAGTCTATAATAATCCACATTATATTTTGTTCTTCCAAAAATATAGCAGCTAAACTCAGATCTCCCTCAAACATTCATTTTATTAGCAATCCATTTTGCCAGAGTTTAAAATGTTAACTTGTTTGCTAACTATAGTTGCAAAAAAATAAAAAATAAAAAAATAAAAAATAAATAAAAAAGGGGAATAGGGAGAAAAAAAAGAAAAAAAAAAGGAATGAATAAAAGTAGTTAGCTTGGTTAAATTAGCTAAGACAATGAATGCCTGGGTTTGTGGTTATGGGTCCAGAGGCATCTTAAGACATGGTTCAGAGACAGATGCTTGCTCTGTTGGCTGTTAACACTGTACTAACCTTCATGTCTTGTTCAGCCTTCAACGCAGCCTGGGCCTGATTACCTCTGACTCCAGATAGTGATCCACAAGGACCCCTGGCTACATGTGGCAAACGAGCATGGCTCATGAGGCCTGTGGTCAGCGGAGGAGGCATCTGACTGGCCAGTGCCATTGGTGGCCTCTGAACAGGCGCTGGGAAGGTGTTAGTATGTGGGGCTCTTACCAATGGAGGGACCAGGTTAGGCTGAGAGAGAATCTGAGTGAAAAAAACAAAACATACAACATTGAACTGTTAAAAAAAAATTTTTGCCAACTAGACCAGGTTGGCTTATTTCAGAGTAAATCTGTGCCCATTCTGCCAAGTGAAAGGAAGTATGGAGGCATTTGTGCCATTCTACAACAGGGACCAAGAACAAACAGGCCATGCTTGGAGAATCTAACAGAAAAATTAGCAAAGCACGCTATGGCACTGTAGTTGGTTCTTGCAGTTCAGCTACAAATTCTGAAGGGGAGATGGAAAAGCTATTAAATAGGGTTATCCTTTTAAAAAGATGTAATTGCAGAAAAGGCACACACTTATACCAAACATAATCTGAAGATAAATAAAAATAACACCAATTCAACAAATAAGTGTCTTTTCAGGAATCAATACTCATTTTGAGAGTTATGATAAATTTTAGTTAGTCTTTCCATTCGTTCAGCGAAGGGAAGGGAAGCCAATGTTTTTACACATATATTAGAACATCCTTTAGAAACTTTAACTCAACTACACATAGTTCTCTTAAAAAACAACAAAACAAAACAAAACAAAATCCAACAACGACGACGACGACGGCGACGACCACGTAACAAAAACTTTAAACCTAGAAAGCTTTTAAGCACTGGGACCCTTCTCTGAAAGTCCACTTCTTCAAAAAAGATAAAAGAAACAGGACTGAAATGACCAGAGCTGTGTGGGGAATCTTTCGACTACTTCTCTTGTCTGCTTTAGCACTACACAGCTACTACCTGTAGCTCACGAAAAATTGCGGAGATGATCTATGAAGGTCATAAATGTACTGTTAAATAAGAAACTGTTTCTCATTAAAAACTATGTTTCTAAACTACTTATAATATGGCAAGATTATGAAATCAGATACTTAGCCAGATTAGCAATCATTTCCAAGTACATAATACTCATTTCTCACTCGTATCTGCCCACCTGGGGTGCAAACTGTGTAGGAAATGGTTGTGTCACTCTCACAGTGGCAGGGGCTGACGGGAACTGCTTCTGATAGACAATGCTGCTCATTTTGCTGGACTGGCTGTTCGGACTTGTGGAAGTAGCCCTTGGGAGAAAGCCGTCACGGGTCAGTACAGTAGTGCCAAATAATCATATGCTGTTAGATCTTTAGAGACACTGCTCTTGGCGGACGCTTCATTTGTGGTAGCGGAGGAAAATCTACCAAGGGGAGTTACCGAACACTACGGTAGCGGAGAGACACTGGAGGGGCAGAGGTGAGAAAGAATTCTAGCTAGATTTGCCCTGTATTTAAAAAAAAATTTCTTAAAAAATATAGTATAACATATACATTCTTAATTTAATAGCTTAGCATTTTAGGTAACACTATCAGAATGTCTTGTGCTTACCACAGGCCTGGTGACATAGTAAGAACCTAACAAACAAATTGTGTTTACTTATTTGGAAATTCAAATGCCCATTTTACCGGAAGGGACTAGATGTTGGTGTGGTGCTTCTCCCGCTGATTGGAGGTGTGCCTGGCTTTATGTCAATGCCACTTCCAAAGGCTTTCAGTTCCATTTCAGACATCTGAGGAAAAAACAAAGAACAGACTTAGCGTTTCTGGAATTCCATAAGATAAGAGGTAAAGAATCTTAGTACAAAAATCCTATAATTAAGTTTTAAATAAATTATCAAGGCCAAATTTGTGGGTAAAAAGCTTAAAAGACTGTGTAAACCCAATTCGTTCATAAAATTTATGAATTCTTTGTTACTAAGTAAGAAACAGAGGAAGTCAAACATATCACAAGTAGATTTAGAAAGTTTAAAAAAAAAGGCACACTGGGGCTTGGGCGCCTGGCTGGCTCGGAGGGCAGACCGTGCAACTCTTGATCTCGGGCTTGTGAGTTCACGCCCCACAATGAGTGTGGAGATCACTTTAAAAATAAAAAAGCACATCAGAGTGTGAGTTCTCCTGGAGAGTGGTAAAAACTTATGCATTTTATTTTTACAGATACAAGATGCATGTATCTAAACGCAGCCTTAAATTCTCGAAGAACTGCAAATCCCTCTTGCACTCACTTTTCCGGCGGCAGCGATCATGCTGTGCTGTGTTCCAGCGGGGATCAACCCCCTGAAAGGCTGGCTTACTTGGGCAGGACGGCTCAGGCTCTGGGCCTGGGCTTGTGGGGTGGTGTGCTGCAGTGGGGGCTGAAGAGCCTGAGGCAGAGCGATTAAAGGCTGCCCCGTAGATCCGAAGTTAGGTAATGAAAGCTGGGACGCTGGTAAAGGTACTGTAACCTAGAAAATAAGCAAAAAGAAACTGTGGCCATTTACTTGTGTCTGTCATCTAGACAACTGTAACTCTCTAGACAACTCTTAAAAACCTTAAGAGTAACAGTTTAAACAGAATACTTCAATCTACTAATATACTTCACGTATTATCTTTTGCTTGGTAATTACCTCCCATCTTTTAGTACGGGTGCAACAACAGAAGACTAGCAGTGCAGACACTAGCCAAACCACCACGAAGATGTCTGAATGAATCCATGGGACGTGTCTAATAAACACATAATACAATGAAGTCGTGGGATACAATTTAAGAAAGTAGTGCTGTTGCACTTTCCCAAACAGACATCTCTACTGTTTTCAGGTCTGACTAAAATAAGCTTTGACAAGAAGAAAAGTAACCTTTCAGTTTTCACACAAGCAGTATTTAATTTGAATGTCAAGGCAATAGATACATTTATGAAGTTTCACCCCTAAAATAGCCACCAGAATACAGAAATGACTAATGGGTTTGTCTCCCTCCTTCAGTCCTCCACGAACTTTTGAAGGGCAGGTGCAGGACACTGCTGGCAGTTTGTGCACATCCGTCATGGATACTCTGTCACACGCTGCCACATTGTTCTAAGTACTGGAGTAACCAGCGTGACGGTCCGTAGAGGCCCCTCCCTCTCTAGCCCAGATGGGTAAGCACTTCTCACGCTTACATGTAACTGTGTATCCCGGACAATGGTTTTCGAACTTTTATATTCATGGAATCCTTTGTTGAAATAAATGATTACATGGAAACTAATTTAAGACAAAGAGCGAAAAAGCAGAAGTGACTCAAGTGGGGCTGAGGAGAGAGGTGCTGCGGGACTGAGCACGTCCCACCACCAGTGGACTCCATGGGATTCCTAGGACACCTCAGAGAAAAGTCTGAAAACCACTGAGCCATCTCCCCATCTTGGTTCTATTAAAATTGCCAAGCAAAAACAAACGCAGTAAAAGTAAGAGTAATAAATAATAATAATAATGAAGAAAATTGAGGAAATTTACCATGCCATAGTTTACCTGCTGGAGAGCACTTGGTGACTGGGCAGTGTTATAAAAATTTGTCTGACCAGGCTGTTGTACTTGTCCAGAATAAAGATTTGAAGCCTGGGTAAGATTTGCTCTAGCCTAGAAAAAAATGTGTAAGAGAACAGCAGTAAGAATGAAATACTTCCAATTCAGACATCAAGGATGTACAATCTCTAAGAATTTTAGTATTAGATAAAAGGACCTTTGGTTTTTCACATCTTTTAACACTTTTTCTTTAAAAATTGTTTCCTTAAATAATCTGCTATGCAGGAAGATGATGATAGTGCATGATTCTAGCCCCCTGTGCTCTTGTCTTACCTGGAGAAGATGTGTATCAATTAGCTGGGAACCTCCTAGTCCCGATGCCTGACCCAGCTGATGTTCATACAATATAGGAATAGGCTGCGTATTTGAAGTTTGTTGAAAGGCAAGACCTGATTGTGCCTTTGCAAGTTCCTGGTGTTGGACAGCTGGAAAGTTGTGGATGGCAGTACCGGAAAGAACCACAGATGGCTGGGACAGACTGCTTTGCATGAAAGCTGGCTGAGATCTACACAGGTATTGACAAGAAAAGACTTGTGTTAGTAGTCAATTCTATTTTGGAATCTGGAAATCCTGGGAATGAGTATCCCAAATGACCAAGCACTCTAACAAGCACAATTAAGAAGGAGAATGCAGACTGTGTCTGAAGTACATGTTTCATGATTTAGAGCCCCGTAACACAACCAAGTTCCAGAGAGAGGCTTGCTCTTCCTGAAACTAACAAGAGTTTCTCCTCTTGAACAACAAGAATGATTCTCTTTTCATGTGTTCACTAGCAGGCTCAGAACCAGATCTGCTTTTCTCTTTGGTATCAACATTTTATTCAAATTTATAGCACTAATAGTTGATTTTTATTATTTGTATTTCATTATTCTATTTATATGTGTGTCAATGTGTGTATTAAAAAAAAAAGATTTTGAGAAAGAGAAAGAGCTCGAGTGAGTGGGGAGAGGGGTAAAGGGAGAAGGAAACGGTCTCAAGCAGACTTTGCTGGGCGCAGAGTCTAACGCGGGGCTCGAGCCCACAACCCTGAGGTCATGACCTGAGTAGAAAACAAGGATCAGACTCTTAACCAACTGAGCCACCCAGAGGCCCATATATTTCTTGTAGGAAAATCTCAAGACCTCTACAGAATGAAGCATAGTCGTCCAACATCAGGATTACCCACAAAGTTTCTGTTTGTTTTTAGTGAAGTATAATGGAAATGTAATGTATTAATTTCAGGTTTACAACATTATTCAGTATTTGTATGTATTATGAAATGATCATCACAGTAAGTCTAGTTAACCTCTGTCACCATATATATTCACAAAAATACTTTTTTCTTGTGATGAGAACTTTTCGCAAGATCTACTTTCTTAGCAAATTTCTTTAAAGAGAGAGAGAATCCCAAGGGGGATCTAGGCAAGGCTTGATCTCACAACCCTGAGATCATGACCAGAGCTGAGATCAAGAGTCGGATGCTTAACTGAGCTAAGCCCCCTAGGTGCCCCTCAGCAACTTTCAAATATGCAACACTGTGTTATGGTCGCAGGGTACAAACTGCTAGCTCCAAAATTCATGGGGATGTAATGTACAGCATGGTGACTATAGTTTATAACACTGTGGCGTATTTGAATGGTTTTTAAAAAAACTACAATGCTGGAATCTAACTTCAGACTACCCTCTTACCTCTGGAATGGGGGCCTTCAAGCTATACTTTTACAAATGCTAAGATACGGAGTAAGTAACTGTATCAAGGCACTGGATTAAAGACTGTATTATCAAGAAGTAATATCATTATGTTTTGTTAAAACTGACATTTGTGGTAGAAACAAAGGCCATTTAGCAGGGGTGCCAGCCTCAGGTCACGAGCAGTCTTTCTGCCTACGTGTCAAATGTAAATCGGGAAAACGTAAGCAAACGCTTACAAACCACGCAGTCCTGGGGTGCCTGAGTGGCGCAGCTGATTAAATGTCCAATTCTGGGATTCAGCTCAGGTTGTGATCTTGGGGTTCCGCAACAGAGCCCCGCATCAGGCTCTGTACTCAGTGTGGAGTCTGCTTAGGACTCTTTCTCCTCCCCACTCCCGCTGTCTAAATAATCTCTAAAATAATCTTAAAAAAAAAAAAAAGGCAAAACCCCCAAACTCCTGTCTGGGCAGAAGTTAATTCAGGATTCTGTATTAGTAAGCACTCACTATCCTGGTGAGGTTGAGAGCAAGCACAGCAGAATGACATGGCAGGGATACAAACAATCACTTTCCAAGGTTAAACCTGTGCCTTCCAATACACTTGTCATTAGTCACAATCACACATACAGCTGACGTTATTTTTCTATGGAACAGGTCTGGTCTTCAGAAATACATCTTCCAAGAATCATTAAAAGGGGACTACAAATACAAAACGTCAGTGCACTGCTACTCCATCTCCCACGGCTATGCGAGACACTAATTCATCACTGAGTTTTTCTGCACAGCTGGAAAATAGCCCCAAACTTTCAAACCACGTTTCAAGTAGCTAATACCAACTAAAAGGATATTTCTTAATCACAAAGCTAACTTACAGTCAATCTTTCAAAAGAACAGTTTCTTTTCTACTTGTCATCCCTATCCCCACAGCCTCTGCTCCCTGCCTGGCACCCTCCACCCCGGCTCCTGCCCCCTCTGCAGTTCTCAGCCAAGCCCCACACACACCCCAGGGCAGGTGTGGACGCACAGCTGCTCTGGAAGGGGCAGGCAGCCTTCCAGGACCCTTAGCAGCTATTTCCTCTGATTCCTAATTGTTCTGGGATTGTTGTTATCCTTGTGTTCAAGAATATCTGAGATCTTACTTTGTTCAAAAAAGTCTTGACTGAAACTACTGGAAACTAGGTTTTAAGACATAAAATCAACATGCTTAATCACTGAGAGGAATTCGGTAAAAGGGTCAACTGAGATTCTGGGGGAAAGGAGGAACAGCAGGGGTTACAGCGGGCTCAGCAATCACAAAGCACGTACCTGTACGGCTGAAGTGAGGACGTGAATAACTCCTGAGCCTGGGAAACAGCAGGGCCAGCTCCCAAGCTCAGCTGGGCCTGATGCTGTCCTTGCAGCGGCGCATAAATGGGGATCGGGATCTGCTGAACCGAAGTTGGCTGCGATGCAACAAAAACACATGAGCACCATCTACACAAATCACGGTATTTGGGAGAATAAAAATTTGAGATACGAAAATAGAAAACACATCTATCAGCTCCCTTTTAAAATAAAACCAATGTAAGCATCTAAATTTTCCTTTCAATACATTATTCTGCACTGTTAGCCATTAAGTTCTGGCAAATTTGGGAAAGTTTGAAAATTTTGCTAATACATACCAAGGTAATCACAGACTGTCCCATGTTCAACAGAACATTTCAACTTAAAGAGCCTTTATCTGTAGACCAAGATACCTATTCTACCATGAGCACGCCAAGAAGCACACACGTGATGAAAGTCTGTGCTATTTACCTGAGAGAGGCCTGGCTGGAAGCCTTGCTGCTGAGCCAAGGATGGTGGAGCCAATCGTGCATGCTGGGTATTGAATAAATGACTCGTGTCCATGTAGAAAGCAGGGATTTGAGCTATACAGACCATCAGGAGAAACAAGCAGTTTTAGGTGTCTAAGCTTCAGAATTTTCCAAAAAGTCACTAAAATCCAAGGTTTGTAGCAGATTTTAAATCGAGACCACTGAAAACTAATACAGCCAAGGAAAACTAGAAATATGAAAAGACCGAAAACTTCCAGCAGATAGGTATATGCAAATTAAACCAATAAAACTCTAATACAGTTGACCCTTGAACAACAGGGGTTTGAACTGTGTATTTTTTTCATGTAATTCAGTGAGGTACTGTAAATGTATTTTCTCCTTGTGATTTTCTTAGCAACGTTTTCTTAACTGTAAGAATGCAGGGTATAATACTTCAATATACAAAGTATGTGTTGACGAACTCTTTATGTTACCAGTAAGGCTTCTGGTCAAAGGTAGGATACTTGTAATTAAATCTAGGGGAGTGAAAAGTCGTATGTGGATTTCCAACTATGTAGGGCACTGACACCCCTAACCCTTGCATTGTCCAAGGGTCCATTATACTTTGTGGGTATAAAAAAATACCCTCATACACTGCCAATGGGTATTAACTAGTGAAACCGGACATGATCTACTCAAAGTGAAAATGAACCCACTGGTTTATCAGCAAATCTATTCTAATTTTATATCTACCTACTAGAATTTAACAAAATATTTCAAAGGAACTGGCATTTAATAACTGAAAGAATCTGGTTTAGATGCTTAACAGATTTCTATGTATTATACGAACTATTCTGATCTGCTCTTTTCATGTATGTTTTGGAGAACTTCCCATACTGGTTTTTAATTTGTCACCATTATGAACAATACTGCAATGGATGAACACGCTCATACTTAAGTCTCTGACTAATACTAATTTATCTATAAGATTCCTATGAAAGTTGTTACTATGGTTAAGTATATACATATAAAATAGTCTCATATTTTCTAAAAGAATATGTCAACTTGTATACTAATCAGCCATGCACTTTAAGAAACTATTAATAATACCTGTGACCCTCATAAAAACTGGGTATTATCAATCTTTCTAATATTTCCCATATAGAAAGGCAAGAAATAGCCTCACTGTTTATTTTGAATTTAAATCAGTAGTGAGTCTGAGTATTTTTCAAATATTTATTTACTATTTAACTAAGATTAATATTGTGGTAAGTTACCCCAGTACCCCAACATAAAATTTTTTTCTTCTTTGCTAATCTTAGGCTCATTCTTCCCTATCAATTTTATTATTGATTTGTCAAGGTTCAGGTAATAAAGTTTTGTAACTTGACTGGAATGACATGAAATGTTTAAGTTATTTTGCAAATTACTAGACACTAATTTGTCTTGTATGTAACATATGTGTTAGAAACAACCCCCAAGAGCCCCCAGAACACTTATCAGAGAGGGAACATTAAATTCTATGATGAAACAAATCTGCAAAGCAGATAAAAAATATTTCAACTTGAGAGAAAAATGTGAGCATGTAAAAATTCTTCATTTTTCTGAATTCCTTATACCCAATCCTAAAAATCTTACCTGCTGCAGACTGAGACACATAGACCTGCGGGCTCTGTTGTTGCTGGGCAATAAGGGAAGGCATACAGCTTAACTGTGAAAAATGACTTGCAGAAGGCAGGCTGCTTGTCTGTAACTGCTGGGGTTTCACTTTACAAATATTAGGAGGATCTGATGTGGTTGTAGATTTTGTACTCAAAGAAGAGGTAGTATATGTACCAGCTCCTATATGAGGGAGGGAAAAAGGTAGCGTATTTTAAAGAGCCACTGTTGTTCACTATAAAAACAACTCAAGCGCCAGCTAGACACTGGAAAATTCACGTTTACACCCTGCAGGTACTTACCATGCACTTAAGTAGCAATCACTAAATGTAAACAAGACTATGAAATCTGGAGAAATCCGGTACAATAAAAAAATGCAAAGAGAAGGAAATTAAAAGATAAAACTCACAAAATAAGATGGCCAAGAGCCTACAGGGTTGTCAGTGTAGCCTCCAGCTAATGGTTCTTTAATCATCACAAAGGAAAGGATGGTCAAGAGCTTCACTCACAAATGGCTAGCACAGATGTAGTAACACGGAAGGACAAAATGCCGCACCTTAGGAATAATCAAGAACGTAGGGGTGCCTATCTGGCTCAGCTGGAACAGCACCAATTCTTGATCTCAGGGTCACAAGTTCAAGCCCCACATTAGGTGTAGAGATTGATAAATAAAATAAACTAAAAGTATAAATGCACTGGAGAGATCACAACTGCTCCTAAAAAGTCATGTAAACGAAAGGTCAGACTTCTTTTCTTCTGTCCAGCAAGATACCTTACAGGTGATCTTAAGAGCTTCATTCAGTTATGAGTGAATACTTAAACATCTTCTAAGGTCAGGCATAGACGGAAGGACACAGAAGAACAAAGTGCTGCACCCTAATACTCACTAAGGTAAAACAGGCCTTTAGGGATCATAATTGCTCCACAGCCATATGAACTTAAGGTTATACATAGTCCTCACTCTCCTTGTACATATACCAGCAAAAAACAGGTATATAATAATACCTTAAAAAGAAAATAAACTATTAATAAATAAGTTGCATTATAAAACGTAAGATCCTGAAGGGTCAGTTAGTTCTGCTGATCAGTGGGTGATGAGGACTGTGTACAGGAGTGGAAGATAACACTGGCATCTGATTTAAGAAAATGAGATGCAATCATCATTTTTCCAGACTTCAAATGATGTCTGATCTAAGAGAGGACCAAGATCAAGACACCTGTGTTCTTCCACTTGAGTCTCTACCAGTAGGATGACTGGGCAAGAAATAAAAAAATTTATCCTAACTGATGAGAGTGTGGGGGAACCAGACCTGGAAAAAAGTACACTTGACCTTGAACAACACAGGTTCATTAAGCTGTGTGTGGGTCCAGGGACACCTGGATGGCTCAGTTGGTTAAGCTGTGTGTGGGTCCACTTACACACAAATTTTTTTTTTATTAAATACAGTACAGTACTATAAATGTACCTTCTCTTATGATTTTAATAACATTCTTTCTCAAAAATTACATGTTAATCAGCTATTGATGTTATTAGTAAGGCTTCTGGTCAAGAGTAGGCTCTTAGTAGTTAACTTAGGGGAAGTGATAGGTTTCTGACTGCACGTGTTGGTCGCCAAGTGTCAGCGCCCCTAACCTCTGCGTTGTTTAAGGGTCAACTGTGACCAGAAGGGAACCCTCCCAGTCCCTTTATTTCCTAATCTCTCCACTACACTATATTCCTGATTGCTTTATAGCCCCAACCCCTACCCACCCAAATGACTGGGGTCCCAGTCAGCAAGCACAATTCAGATGTCTTACAAATGGATGGTGGGGAATGCACGCTCCTTGATTTGAATCTGTTTGTCTTAATACATACTTCTGATTTCATATAACATCAAAATAACCACAGTACATCCCAAAGGCCAATTCTTTTGGCACAGAATGCCAGAAGAGTGAAAAACAGCAGTGCAATCACTAAATGAGAACCAGTCAAAGAAAGTAAATTCTGTGCTGGATGTATCTTTTATCTTTTGGAAAGCAGCTTCTGATGAAACAAGATGGGAACGGGAGGGAGACAAACCATAAGAGACTCTTAATCTCACAAAACAAACTGAGGGTTGCTGGCGGGAGGGGGGCAGGAAGAGGGGGGTGGGGTTATGGACATTGGGGAGGGTATGTGCTATGGTTAGTGCTGTGAAGTGTGTAAACCTGGCGATTCACAGACCTGTACCCCTGGGGCCAATAGTACGTTGTATGTTTATTTAAAAAAAAAAGAAGAAAGAAAAAAGAAAGCAGCTTCTGCTGCTTTGGAAACATTAGGTAATACTGGGAAAGAATTTCTACAAAGAAATTTCTGTTTTGGACAGAAGCAACATGGTTACACATATGGTCAAAGGGTGTACTTTCCTAGAGTCAAGCATTTTAGAAATTATTCAAGAACTATGAAGCCCCCAAAAGAAATATAGTTTAATGAAAGGATAATGTGCTAGTGAAAAGTTTAAGGAAGATAAGCACTAACTTGGGGCACTGATGGACTCTCCTTAAAAACAAACAAAACACCCTTCTCCCTGGCCAGAATAATGCAGTATGTACCACCTATTCAACTAGCAAACCGGAAGTTCTCTACCCCTAACTCTTCACCAGAAAATGTATGTCATTCCAACAGACTTAGGTCAACAGCTCCTTCCAATTAAATACAGATGATAAAAATTTACAACCTGCATGATTTTGTATTATTTCTGAGTTGGACTAACTAGCTATATAAGTTAAAAAATAAAAATCAAAAGACGAATTTTATAGAAAAATTTAGAGGAACAAGATAAACATCTTTTCACCAATTACTTAAAATACCTATAATGGGCAGGGGACGAGACACAAAGGGCATGGGGCCAGGCAGAAGGTCCAACAAGTAGAGTGTTCTAGCAAGTCATCAGTAACTCTTTGCCGAGCTAACTGAAACCGGAAGAGGGCTAAGGGGGGGGGTTGTAAAGGCAAGAAGAGTTTACAAGATAGCTGATAATCAGATCCTGTGCAGTCTTATATGTTCCGTAAGTAATACACCTGGGGGGGGGTAGTAAACAGGAAAAAATTATAAGACATTTAAAGGAAAGGTACGAACACCTTCTACCTGACAGTGATGTTGTGGGAGTGACGGAAGCGACAGGAATCTGAGGCACGGACGCGCTGGAGAACGAGCTGTAATTAGCAGCGCTTGCTCCACCGGCGCTGCTGCTGACTCCACTGGCGATTGGAGGTGCTGTGGAAGTTACTGGAGAGCCCTTCTCCCTCACATTTGGAGAATTCTCCCATGCCTTGCGTGCAGACTCCATCTACAATAGAATGCACATTTTTTTTTTAAAGCAAAAAACAAAAAACCCATGATGCTAACACAGAATATACATATATACTCATACATACGTGTGTATATTTTTAAATTCCAAGTATAATCTTCCAAAAAATGGCAAAAATAAAAGATCAAGACCTAAGGCTTTCAAACCTTTCACTTGTCCCTTTATCTTTGTTCCCTTCCTCTAACTGGGAGGCAGTGGGCTGTAATTATGTCTTTAAGGAGAGCTTGTTGACAGCTCTGGCAAAGAAGTCAGCAAAATAGAAAAAGTCGCAGCTCCTGTCCCATGAAAATATGAGTCCCCAGACCACTGGGGCATAAGGATGGAAATGCCATGCCCCTTTAGGACTGACCTAAGGCTCTGCCTCCGGTCGGAAAGGCGTTGGAGGCCCTCCGTGAGTTCCCATTCCTTTGATTCTTTCTCTGTGAGGCTGCAATTGTCAATGGCAGAGGACAGGTACCTTTTGTTTAGCTGTTTTATGTTTAGTGTCGTGAAAGGCAAAGTAACCAGATAGGTTTTAGGTTTGGATGCAGTAAAAGTATTCCTTGTTTTACACCCAGACCTCATCAAGCATGTCAGATTGCAATTGTGCACTACAGGTTTTAGCTTGTTTCTTAAAATGTAGATAGACTGGGGTGCATGGGTAGCTCAGTCGGTTAAGCATCCAGCTCTAGGTTTTAGTTCAAGTCATGATCTCAGGATTGTGGGGCTGAACCCCGAGTTGGGCTCTGTGTTGGAAACTCTCCCTCTCCTTCTCACCCTGCCTGTGTGCTCCCCCTTTCTAAAATTAATAAATTTATTTTTTAAATGTAGAAAAAGGGGCACCTGGGTGGCTCAGTAATTAAGCATCTGCCTTCAGCTCAGGTCGTGATCCCAGGGTCCCTGGATTGAACCCCGCCTTGGGCTCCCTGCTCAGCAGGAAGCCAGCTTCTTCCTCTCCCACTCCCCCTGCTTGTGTTCCCTTTCTCGCTGTGTCTTTGTCAAATAAATAAATAAAATCTTTAAGGAAAAAAAATGTAGAAACAGATCTTATTTTTATCTATCTAGACCAGTGCTATTCAACAGATATAAATGCAAATCATATATAATTTTTCTAATAGCCGCATGCAAAAAAAGAGGTAATACTAATTTTGATATTGCTTCTCAGCCTTTTGGCTAAGATCAAGTGCAATACTAATTTTGATAACGTATTTTATTCAACCCATGAATCTACAACTAAAACCTAAAATGAACACAAAAACTGACATTTTAACTTCTAAATATTAACATTTCAGACCCAGTGTCTATTTTATTTTACACTTACAGCACATACTACAACTTGGATTAGCCACATTAAAGTGTTACTAACGACATGTGGCTAGTGGATCCTAAACTGGAGGGCACAGATGTAGGTCCTCAATAGGAAGGAAATTGAAACATAGATTGTGAAGTTTTTACTACTAGCCAAAATACTGGGCTGTGGAAAAAAACAAACAAACCACAGGTAATCTATAAAATTCAGCTACCAAAAAATCAAGTTATCAACAGTTATTAATGCCGTATTTAGGAAGCTGTCGATCCTTTAAGTACCAACTTTAAAATTTTTAACCTTATTAAATTTTAATTGTAAGAATGAGAAATTGTTACATCTCTTCTCTGCTTTCTTGTTAAAATACATGTTACATATAATTCAAGTTTTCCTTAGATGACTAATATCATCACTATAATACCAAAACATGGGACACTTTTAGGTTTTTGTGAGTCTTCTCTTCACAATCACCTTGCTAGTTTCAAATGTGTTTTAAAAATCAACCAATAAAAAAAATTTAGGCTAAAGTTAGACAAAATGCAATCTGTACTGAGATTTAATGGTTTAGAGCAGTTTTAGAGAGCACACAATGCCTTTTATACTAGTTTTGTTATGCTGGGAATGCATAAATTACAGCTAATCAAACCTGTAAAATATACAGGCCACACACATATGGCTTCATTTCGTTTTTTCAGAAACAAGGAAATTTAGATTCTATTTTTAGAAATTCAAGAAAACAAGTATATTTAATTATATTAGTTTTCCCCTTGACAAGTATACTGTCAGTAAAATCCATATAATAAAACTTTTCTATACTTTATATATTATCCAAATAGAGAGATGTCAGAAGAAGTAAAGAAACCAGAGAAAGTTTTAAGCAATGAAATCTGATTTAAATTCACTTTAACTCTAAATGTGTATTTCTTCTTAAAAACATTAAGTGAAAGGCAAGGCCGAATGGGTTCTCTGAAGAATTAACATCTGGTCTAAAGAAGAGTTTATGATCTTGTATTTGCTCATGTGAAACTGGACCAGCCTCGACTGGCATGTGGTCAAAACCACATGGAAGACACGGCAGGAAACAGACTGAAATACGCATTCCAGCGGGAAAAGCATAAAGGCTAAGCAGGACCCAGCAGTGAAGAGCCAGACTGGGCAACGATGGGGGCTGACACAAAGCAGAAGTGGTTGTCTCATAAAATTTCCTCTCAAACTTCTAGAAATGAACACTGACCAACATGTTTCCCCCTCTTGTCAAGGTCATCAGTGATTTACTGTCAACCAATGCACCGAGCATTAGGAAATCCTGCTACACAAGTTAAATACTTGCCAGATTATAAAACTGAACAAACACCACCAGTGGGATAAATGTATGCACATTAAAGCATCTTCACTTGAATTTCATGTCCCTTTTTTTAACCACTGACTGATCTGGAGGTGAACAACTGATTTAAAATTCTCTCAAGTAACTGTAAAAAAGCGTTAGTAACATAGCTCAGTATTATAAACACAATAGGAGATAAAAAATAAGCCTGCATTTCTTGATATAAAAAACCCTGTTGTCTATAATCTCTTTTGCCCTCTTATTCAAAAAGTATCCAACAAAAATCAAATCAAATCAACCTGTATTCATTACCTCTTCAGAAAATATCCTAATGATTACAATGCATTCATTCAATTCACAGAGTTTACAGGAAAGACAGGAAATGAGCAGTCTTACCATTATGGGAACTTAGGATAAATACCAACAACAAACATGCAACACACCAAGCCAGATGCTTTTATCCACAACTAAAAATCCATAAATGAAGGTCTCTAAGAGGAACTCAGTACAAACACAATAGAAAAAGGCTTTCCTGTATTTTTAAGACAAAATTCACAGGCATAATAGGCCTTCCTAAAGTGGTATTAGAAGTTAATAAAATTTTAAGGCATAATTTGACGTAACTCTATTTCCTCAGCTTAGTATTGTTGCTTACCACAAAAATACCAAGAGTATTTCTAACTTATGTCCCCTAGCATGCATCATCAAGGACCTTTAGAGAAGGATGTTGTACATACCTTGAAGGTGAGGCTGAAAGTAGTGGGAGGAGCTGAGGTTAGGCTGGCGCTCTGTTGTATAGTCTCCCTCTTAGGGAGGGGGAGGGTGTTGGGCAAGGGCACCTGTAAAGGTAGGCAACACATATCATAATCTAACTAGGTCTGCTACAAAAGCCCCATTACAGATACTGCTAAAGTCCTCTTCTAAGGGTATTTATCTTTCATGAGAGCCAAAAGGAATATCTGATTATTTAGAGGTACACTGTGTCTGCATCAACTGATAACTCTCGACATCTTAGAGAAATACTATCTGCTTTTTTATGCATGTAATTACAGAAAAATAACCTGTCCCAAATACAAGGTATATACTTGAAAGCAGTGCCTCAAGTATTTTAAGTAATTTTAATGTGTACAACAGTGACCTGGGCATGTTATTAAAGTGCAGATTCTGGCCAGTCGGTCTGACATTGTGCACTTCAAATGCAGTGATGCTCTGGCCAGTGGCCAAACACGTGGAGCAAAGCTCTAAGGAATGTAATTTCCACCTCTAAGGGATCCACAGATTCTTTTAGAAGCATTTAACATGATACTGTAATTATTCAGAAATTAACCTCTTTCCTGCAATACAGCCTACATTCTTATAATCAAGAACAAAATTAAAATCTGGAGCAAAGTACAGAATGTAGTACCATCACCTTGTTACACTAAGCAAACCACTTTCGCAATAGTTAGAACATGATTATGGCAAATATTTTTAGAAACATGAAGATATTAGAAACACTAACCAAATCTCTTTTTTCCTTTAAGTCTCTGGAACTTGAAATTTTATTATGTACTCCCGTATGACTGATTTTAATGGTTCACTTAGTTACTCAGATAAAGTGACTGAGATGCTCGGAGGTTTTAAGATAATCTCGTTGTGGTACTACGGAGTATCTAACAGAGACTGATAATACTATGGGCTATTGGATGGAGATTACTTTAAATACAAATCTTTAAAATAGCTGTGCTAGGAATAATCAAAATCACCACCTTCATTTAGATCTTTACGACACTTAGTATTCAAAATGATTGTGTAACACTAAGCAATAAACAACCAGCTAAAAATCCTTAAGAAGTACTTTAAGTTTTGATAAGGGGAATAAGTCTTTATCAAGAACGATTTTTTCAAAAGACAAAAGTTCTGTGCATAAAAGGAACCCTTAACCACACTAAGGAGTGAAAAAGGAACATTTCAAGGGTCCTAAAACTTTCCCATGCAGAACATTTGTTTTTAACAACTACATTAATCAAATTCAGAATCCCCACCGCACTCGGCAGAAACTCGCAGCACTGTGAAATCACTGCGGACTGAAGACCGTCTGTAGCGCTCCCTGACCCAAGATGGATGTTCCTGTTTTCAAATGTGCTCTGGATACACAATTAAAAATAAAATGTAGGCTATTTGCTTAGACACAAGACTGGGTCTCTCCCCTTCAGTGGTCCTGCATGCACAAGTCTCACTACATTTTAATTAGATCACACAGAAACCACTAAACACTCAAATGGCTATTTCCAATGACACTGAAGGGTTCTGAGAATAATCTTTCTTTCCTTACTTGTATTTCATAAATCACATTTTTAGAGGTTGATTTGGCAGAAAGCATCATATACTCTTTATTTTCTAAATGAGAAAATGCACAATTTAAGTAAAATTAAACTCTGAGATATTACTGATTCAGTATTTGATAATCAACATAGCGCCACTGACTCCCTGTTAACTGACAGGGAGTCTTTTTGTCCTTCCCAAATTTCCCATTACTTTTTTTCTCCTTTTTAAAAAAATTAACATGTTATGTATTACTTGTTTCAGAGGTGCAGGTCTGTGATTCATTGGTCTTACACAGTTCACAGAGCTCACCACAGCACCTACCTTCCCTACTTATAGGAAGTTAAATAAATTTAAGACTTCCTCCAAAGTGTGGGGGGAAAGGGTCTGGCATGACAAGTAAAGCTCCGCTACATCTGTGAGCTGGACAGATTATATTAATCGGCTCCTACAAAGCTCTCCTGCCATGAAAAAAAAAAAAAAATGTGTGACACAGTTGCTTCTTTTTTTCCTCAGTCCTCACGTCCTACAGCCTGACTAAAGTTGGATTAAATGATTCCTAAATTACCTCACCTCCTACAATTCTATACTTGATGCTAGAAAGAAGAACAGACAGCACAGGAAAAACACTGCAAGGCATAAGATTTTTATTCTCAAAATGACAGAGTTAAAGCCCTTTGTGAGAAACCTTTAAATATATCCATGAAGGAGACTTTTGAAAAGAATGAGCCTTGCTCATTACAGAGAGCTTTATATAAAAAGGAGAGCAGCTGACCAAATTTCTACCACACCTGCCTTCCAAACCAAGGGCCATACATGTAGCTGCTAAAATGCTCCTCTACACAGAGGGTTAGCGAACGTGTCTGGATTTTCAATTTTTCGCCTGTCAGTCAATGATCCATGCAAAGTGATGGACTGTACTGCCTTAACATAACCCTGAACTATAACACAGCTGTTCTGGAGAACTACAGCCTAAAATTTTACATGGCTTACTACCGCTTTTTAACACAGCATTTAAGAGTTTCTGAAGCTACATACACATTATAGTTCAGACTTCACAATAGGATTGTTGCTAAGGTACAGCAAAAAAAAAAAAAAAAAGTTTTTTCAGGTCAAAGAGAACCCCCTGAATTCTTGGCAACATCCTGATTGCTTTCTGTATCAAGGGAGCTTTCACTGCACTGTAAAAAGTTTTCATCTAAGAACAAAATTATCAACAAAAATAAATTACTGAACTTGCAGAATGTGGATGGGAAGAACAAAAATTCTTACCAAAACCAGGTTAACAGGATTAGTACTTAGGAAACTGAGCCTAAGTTTTGACTGTTTTTGCTAATTATTAGTGCTCCAAAATGCAAGTTCACTACAGCCCTTTCCCAGAGAAGAATTAAATACTGGTCACACACGATGTATTAGATAGTAAGAGCCAGGTTCCTAACCACACCTTTCACATTTGAGGTTGATTACTTACATTATTAACCAAAGTATCCTCCATCTTTGCATTATTAGTAGCCACAGTGTTGGGCAGAGAAGAAGAAGGTGTAGTATAGTCTGTTACAGACTCCTGTGGAGTAGCAATAGAAAAAAAATACATTGTAAACTAAATTAATGACTCACTTTCTAATGGCAGCCTAACAGTTGTAAAGCTGGTCTAGAGGAAAGCAGGAGAGGAGAGCAGATCTTAAGACTCAACTCACTCAAATCTTAAAAGACCAATACTGTGATGAAAGAAACGTGGACTCACCATGGAAGTGGTAACCTTTCAGCTGCCGGGTCCTGTTCATTTTTTTTAATGCATTGCTGTACTGAATGTCCACTATACTTCAATTAAAAAAATTTTTTAAAATTTAAATACAGGGACTCCTGGGTGGCTCAGTGGGTTAAAGCCTTTGCCTTCAGCTCAGGTCATGGTCTCAGGGTTCTGGGACTGAGCCCTCCACCAGGCTCTCTGCTTAGCAGGAAGCCTGCATTCCCCCACCTCTGCCTGCCTCTTTGCCTACTTGTGACCTCTGTCAGATAAATAAGTAAAATCTTATATATATATATATATATATATATATATATATATATATATATATACACACACATACATACACATTGCACTTCACTAGGAGGCTGCCAAAAGTACCAACTATTTAATTTAGTGGGTTACTAAAAGAACTCTGTGTGGCTTTCATAATTTATAGCTTACTTTCAACTACTGATTTTTTTATTCTCTTCAAAATATGACACAGATAAATGAATGTCAAGATGGCAGTTGTTGCAATTAGACTTTAGGATAAATTTATCATCATGAATCTCTTCTTTAAATATGGTAGAGGTGGATAGTAAGAGTTTTTTATTTACATATATTGTTTATATAGCAATTAAAAGAGAAAAACAGTCAAATAACATTAAAGTTCCCACTTATCTTTCTTTTCAATATGTACCAGAGTGAACATAAAATGGCAGATATAAATTTCGCTATTCCCACACGTTAGTCCACATAAGTCACTCAGTCTATCTTTTTTTTTTTAAATAAAGATTTTTTTTTTTTTTAAATTTTTTAAATTTTTTTTTTTTTAAAATTGATCACAAGTAGGCAGAGAGGCAGGCAGAGAGAGACAGGACGAGGCAGGCTCCCTGCTGAGCAGAGAGCCTGATGCGGGACTCGATCCCAGGACCCTGAGATCATGACCTGAGCTGAAGGCAGAGGCTTTAACCACTGAGCCACCCAGGCGCCCGCTCAGTGTATCTTTTGCATCTTGCCTTAATGACTATTTTTAAAGATACACATTTTTCATTCAATGTGGTCCCTAAATTCAAGTCAGTTATTCCCTCTGGTGCTCAACCAATGAAACAATGATCTATTCGAACCCTGGAAGAAAACTGCCTATATTGCAGTTACTGAAAATTTACTCTGACTTAGTTCCTGACTTGAAAATCTCACTAGTGGGCAAGATAAGACACCACTGTAACTCCACTAACAAAATAAAAATCTAGAGCAATCTTTCCAAAGCCTGTAAACCCAAGAAAAATCATTCTAATCCTATGTACATATTTTTCACTTCAAACTGTAGATTTTCACAGGCGCCTGGGTGGCTCAGTGGGTTAAGCCCCAGCCTTAAGCTCAGGTTGTGATCGCACGGTCCTGGGATCGAGGCTGCATCGGGCTCTCTGCTCAGCGGGGAGCCTGCTCCCCCCGCCTCCCCCCACCTTGTGGTCTATCAAATAAATAAATAAATAATCTTTAAAAAAAAAAGTATGGATTTTCACATGAAGAAATATTTTACTTTAACAGATTTCTTTAGACCACAAAGGCATACGATGAAGTAAAACATTCTCTACAAAAATAATCACCCAGATAGCTTACAGAATTCTATGCCTCAAGCCAGAACAGAAAGGAGAACAGGAAGAATGAGTGCTATTCCTGTTTTCCCTCTCACTTTTAACATGGTTTGCACCACCTGAACCGTAGCCACTGTGCTGCCTACCTTCACGTCAGCGCCGTACTCTGTGGACGACACTGAAATCATCGCTCCTATTTCAGTCGACATTTCCGCAACTGCTTTGCTTTCCTTTGTTGTTACCGGGTCTGTGCTTCTGACCGCAGCGGGGCTTGGTTTCTCTTGTCCTTCTGGCTCCGCCTGTTGGGCATCTTTTACTTTTCTATTTTTTAATGAACGTTCTTTTCCAATAGGACCTGGTTTATGTTCTTTATTTTCTACCGGACTCAAATCTGGAAGCTAAAAATTCAATGGTTATGACAAAAAGGTATTACGATCAAAGACATTCGCTGAAAACCAAATTCAATTTCAAAACCATCACTGGTTGTCCCACTAAAGTGTTAGTGGCTTTCATACAGTTCTACCTGGATGGAGTATGAATTATAATCTACCTTCTGGGCTTTGATAGGGCCCGCCCGTGGCTGTTTCTGCCTCTGTTCTTTAGGTTCCGGTATCTTGTCAGTAGTTTTTTCAGAGAGCACAGGCACAATCTCATTTTCATTCCCATTCGAAGCTGGAGCACCAAACTGAATTGTGTCGATTCCAATTTCAACTCCACTTTCTTGACCATTTTTTGTTCCCTAGAAAGAGAGTATTTTAAAACTTGTTTATCTAAGCAAACAGAATTCAAATATGACTGAATGATGTAGTAGCCCGTATTTCAATAGTACAATGGAAGAATCTATGTATTAATGGACACTGATCATGTTTTGAGAAACTCTCCTTTAGCCACTACTGATCTGTATCAAAAAGGAGTAAAATGAAAACTAGGAGAACATTTAAGTTTTGATTTATTTATTTTTAAAGATTTATTTATTTGAGAGAGACACACAGACCACACGTGCACGAAAACAGGAGTCGGGGAAGCAGCCGAGGGAGAGGGAAGAGGACAGAAGCAGACTCTAAACTGAGCAGGGAGCCCAGTGACACCAGGACCCAGAAACTATGACCTGAGTCAAAATCAAGAGCCAGACGCTCAAATGACTGAGCCACCAAGGCCCCCAAGACTTAAATTTCTGAAGTCCTGGCTTAATGTGTCATGAGTTTCACTGTGAGCAAATCATAGCCTCAAGCTATTTGCTCTTTTAAAACGAAAGTAAAAGCAACAAACAGACAAAGACAGCACCAGCAACAAATCAACAGATGAATGAACGAGGGAGAGAAGAAAGCAACACCAGGGTCATCTACTTTTTAAAAAATTTTTTAGAATTTTTAAAAAAGATTTTATTTATTTATTTGACAGAAAGAGAGGTCACAAGTAGGCAGAGAGGCAGGCAGAGAGGAGGGGGAAGCAGGTTCCCTGCTGAGCAGAGAGCCCGGATGGATGCGGGGATGGATGCAGATGGATGCGGGGATGGATGCGGGGCTCGATCCCAGGACCCTGAGATCATGACCTGGGGCAAAGACAGAGGCTTAACCCATTAAGCCACCCAGGCGCCCCCAGTGTCACCTACTTTTAAAAAAGTATACATGGAAATAAAATGAAAACAACGTCCATCAAAATACTCTGTGAGTGGTAATGAAGTGCACACACCTTAAGAATCCAATTAAACTGTTAATTTATGTGGCATCTTCTTTGTGCACTGATCCAGACAGACTCTAAGAATCTAACTTGCAGAAGTTGCAATAAAGTGAATGAAGAAAATGAACAACTAGAAAATCAGATGAGGGATATGCAAAAATCAAAGTATGGTTAAGCCACTTGAGAATGATAGACAGAAAAGGTCCTGAGGAGATCATACCGAGACTCAATCTACAAGACAAAATCAGCAGCAAGTGATTCCGGCAGAGCAGAGCAAACACCTCGTGTAGAGGTTAAGAATTAAAAAAATAAAAAATAAAAAAGTTTAGTGAGGCTGGAACATGGCAGGTATTAAAAGCAGTAGTAGAAAATGAACAAGCAAAAAGCTAGAAAACACAATTTTGTAAGCCAGAGGTGTTTGTAACAATTACTTAACATTTTCAGAAATAAACAGACAAAACTTGGGACAAAGTTTAACTTCAGGCTTTGGTCTCATAATCATATCATTGCTTCGTATTAGTTTCAGCATCCCTGAACTCACCACATCAATTACTGTGTAAGGTTACTATTAAATTTATCAGTGTAACAATGTCAACATTATGGACAGGCCATATCATTCAGACTTATTTTTAGTATCTAAACATTCTCTTTCAAATACAGGATAACATTACTTATGTAACTTAGAATAAAAATCTCTATTTGCTTTAGTCAATGCTGAAATTCTGTAGTTAGTTCAGTATGAATGTACCGTTAGTATCAGAAAAGTCAAACAGTAATCACTGAAACCCAATGACTATGTAGAGAAACAAGAAGTTACAAAAGTTCAAAGAAATTAAAAAATAGACGGAAAGTTAACAGAACTAGTAGAGAATGTTTTAGGAAAAATACCGTATCCTTTGAAACAAAAAAAGTGTACAAAATACACGTAACACAAGGAAGGATAATAGAGCTCAGATCATGTATTATCAATCTTTGTGAGACTATCCAGTGTATCTAACACTCACTGCACTGAACAAAATAATCACTAAGGAATGTATTTCACTAGAGTAATCTCAGAAGTCCCCCTGAGGAATACTTTCCATTCTCTGAAGTGAATTAAAACTGAAACATAACTTTGCTAGCTCTGAAGCTCACCATGAGGCAATATTCCAAAATCATGTGCAACGATCGTCCACCAAAAAACTATCACATTTTACCCAGAAAACATAAAGAACATAGAGAGGATGAAGAAAGATGTGTGTGAGAAAGATGAGATCCCACCAAAGTAATTTCCTCCTCCAACCGGCTGAAGGCAGATGTGGGCGTTCTTTCAGGATTGCAAACCTGTAGGAGAACCTTCACAACAGAAATCTGGCAGCTGAGAAATCATTATTCCTATACTGAATGCCAATTTAAAAACTGGGACTAGACATTTTAATAAATTCATTAAATCCAGTGCACCCATCCAAAACAAATAAGCTTTCTACTTCGTCCTTCACTATTAGCATGACATACCTATGTAAGAAATGTTAGTTAATCCTAGTGTCCATACCAACCGGCAGAAGAAAAATGATTAAATGGAGGATCCTAAACACCGAATGCAGTGATACGGAAATACGGAAAAATACGGAAGTATTTTACTTGAGATCCCTGTAGAACTTTTAAAACAGCTGGTGAGGTCTTCTCCAGACCTAAGTCAAAAAGCCGAAGTGGGGCAGGGGCAGCAGGAAGACTTCTTTAATGAGTTCTTTAAATTTTTAAAAAACTGTACTTTTTATCTATTGTCACGTGTCTCTGCTCTCCCTTTACAGCCAAACTACTTTCTCTAAGTTCTCTATATGCATCTTTCCTCCCACTTTCTCTTAAATTCACTTTAACCAGGCTTTTGTGCCTACTGCCCCACTGACACTGCTCTTGTCAAAATCACCAGGACCACAAAATCAGCTCCAATTCTCAGGCCTAACTCACCTGACCACCCAGCAGAATCTGACACACTTAATTATCCCTCCTTTCAACTCACCTTTCATTGAAATTTGAGAACCCTTTCCAACCCCCACATCGCCAAATGGGAAAGGCTTAGGACTTAGCCTCAGATTCTCTTCTCTTTTCTAACCACTCTTCCTTGGTGGTCTCATTCAACTCATTCATTTTAAGCACCATCTAATCAATAGCTGTGAAATTCAGGTCTCCAAACTAGATTATCTCCTATGAACTACAGACTCTTCCATCTAACAACCTACCCAGCAGCTCCACTTAGATGTGTAATGAACACTCTAACCTTAACAACGTGCCCCTTGTATTTTCCAAACTCCCTTCTATTTTCCCTCATTGCAGATCCGTATCACGGCTTCTAATCACGACTGATGGCAACTCTATTCTTCTTGCTCCTATGTCAAAAACTGGGGAGATAAATCGTGTTCTTTTTCACATACTATGTTTATTTTTTTTTAAGATTTTATTTATTGGACAGAGATCACAAGTAGGCAGAGAGGCAGGCAGAGAGAGGGGGAAGCAGACTCCCCGCTAAGCAGAGAGCCTGACGTGGGGCTTGATCCCAGGACCCTGGGATCATGACCTGAGCTGAAGGCAGAGGCTTTAACCCACTGAGCCACCCAGGCGCCCCACACAGACTGTTTAATCACTCGGTATTTGTCAGCTCTACCTTCAAGTCTTCTTATCACCTTTAATGCCATCTCCCTGGTCTAAGTGACCACCATTTGATTATTATGACACCATCCTACCTTCTACTCTTTGCCATCCACGGACTAGTCTTAACTCAGAATAATCATCTGAGAAAAAGTCAGGTCCTGTTATTCTTGTGCTCAACACCAGCTACTGTGTTCCTACGTCTCCCCAAGGCCCAGTGTGGTCTACGCTCCGTGATCCCTCCGGCTTCATCTGTTCTCTTTCCATCCCCCAACTTCACTACAGCCACACGGAACTCCCTGATCTTCCCCGAACGCACCAGCCATGCCTCTCTCTTGGGGCTTCTGTATTTGTTAGTCTCTGAACCAAGAATTCACTTTTCCTCAGAAATTTCAGTAGCATGCTCTCTTATCAAACGTCACCTAAGGGGCACATCTTGGCCAACCTATTTTAAATTGTCTCCAGATCCCTTGAGAAACTTCTTAGGTACCTTCCCTACTTTGCTTTCCTCCTCAGCACTGACCCATTTAACAGTAGATGGTATTTATTAGGGGCTCACCCCCCTCCCCGCCCCATCTACAATGGAAGTCCCCTGACTGCAGAGCTTTTTGTCCATTTTTATCACACTCTCTCCGTTTTGTAAGCCCATGTGTTAGAAAACTGCCTGGTATATCACACGTGCTCAAAAATTTTTGTTCAATGAGTAAGTGAAAAACTGCTAACTTACCAACACTGCACATCCGAGAAATTATGTTGAACTTCCTGTAAACTCTGCTTCTAAGTAATTATACTGCCTAATTATTCAGGCTAAAAACACAGTAGAAAAGTCAAAAAAGTAGTAACTACACTTATATTCTCTGTATCACAAGCATTTTTTTTTCACAAGCACTTTTATTGAGACTTGAATTAAAAAAATGTTAACCTAGTTATGTCTAAAGGTGAAAAGCAGCCTCTAAAGGTAGAGCTCCAGCAGCAATAATACCACTTGGGAACTTGTTAGAAACGTCCTTGGGCCTCAGTCAGACCTAATGAGACAGAAGCGCCGGGCGGGAGTGTCAGCAATATACTCTACAAGCTGCCCAAGGTGACTGTGACGCACACTCAAGTGTGAGAAACTACGGAAGGAAACTGCTATGCTAACACCGCCAAGGCCATTGTAAAATGCACTCCTACCTCTGACGAGGCAGCTGATCCAAATGACGTCAGGGGCTTATTCCACGCGCTGACAGATGGTGGCTGTGGTGGACTAATGGGACCCACTGAAAAGAAGAAATCATGGGAAACGCAACCATTAAAATTTAGAGGCTAATAATCCCTAACGTACTTTACCTTTTCCTTTAATGGCAGCTAGACAACAACAAAATTTTCACAATACACTTAGGGATAAATATAAGCTCCCCCAGCAAACAGTGTATGTTTTTAATCAACACAAAACTGTGCCCATAAAATATGCCATTAAAAGTATAAGACATCTGTTCTAGAAACAAAGGTTTTAAGAAAAGAAGTGAAGAAAAAAACTACTATTACCGCTTCTTCCTAAAAAAAGGAAGTGGCTAGAAAAAAAACATACTGAGTACACAAATAAAACTGGAAACAACCCCAACGTTCTCATGCCATACCCCATCCTTCACTTCTCTGGTGAACTTACATTTCTTTGAGATGTCATTCAGCACAGCCGGTGGGGCCACCTTGTTATCCCATAATTCAGTTGTCAGTGTGCCATGTGACTGTGAGGTCTGGATGGACTTTCCTGTGGCTACATAATCCGTGCCGTTGGGCGTCTGAGCTGAGGGTAGTCTAATCGAGGGTGGTGGCTGTTTTGAAGACTGGGTTGTAGTCTGTAGTGGGCTCTGTACTGGTTTATGAGTCTGTCCCGGAGTCTGGGCTGGTGCACTGGGGGCCGGGGCAGGGACTGGGACGAGGGCTGGGGCTGAAGTTGGGGCAGCGACTAGGGTAGGGGCTGGGGCTGGGGTCGGGGTTGGAACAGGGGCTGGGGCGGCTGGCATGGGGGCTCCTGGGGCTGAGGCGGCAGGGGCAGGAGCTGAAGCTGAAGCTGGGGCTAGGGCTGAAGCGAGGATGGGAACTGAGGCTGAGGCAAGGATGGGGACAGAGGCTGGGGATGAAGCTGAGGTAAGGACGGGGTTTGGAGCTGGAGCTGAAGAAGAGACTGTGGCTGCAGCAGAGGTGGAAGGCGGAAGCGGGGTTGAGGCCGAGGTCGGAAGAGGAGCTGACGCCGAGGTGAGGACTGGGGCCGGGACCGAGGCCGAGGCCGGGGCCGGGGCTGAGGCCGGAGCCGGGGCCAGGGCCTGCTGAGTTCCTGTAGCTTGCTTTTTGGCAAACCGTGGAGGAAGCTTCGAAGTCTGACTTCTTCCTTTCTCATTTGCATTCTTTTTGTTCCAGACCTTAAAAAATTGGCAGGAACCATTTTTGTCAATAATGTAACCGAAAGAACAGTTCATGAATATTGTCTCTGACAAGATCTACTAGTTTAGCTCCTTTACTTTTCCAAAATAGGCACTCAACAGAGCAAAAACGTCAAGGCTGCTAAGGAGACTTTAAATTATGAAAACAAAGATGCTACGGGAAGAAAAAGACTAATATATACTATACATTCTTCATAATCTCTCCTCCATAATTCTAAAATTTAAATATTGGAAGGAATTTCTCAATGAATTCATTTGGCCGCAAAATCTGACCCAATCTGACAAAAAGCTACTTACCGACTTCACTCATGTTTACCACAGAAACATTCATCTGTGGGTGTTGCTGGGCTGTTATGCTATACAGGATTTATGCACTATTTTTACCTTCTAAAATAAATGAATAAACAAACAAATGAATCAATGAATGCTAAAAATATCTAGTCCTAGGGTCTATATCTGATTGAACTTAGAAGTACCGCTCACGTAAGATTTTTAGTGTTTCTTTGTTTTTTGGCTTCTCATCCTTTAGAGCTTGTTATCACTATTATCTATGTATTTTACTTATTTTTATCCTGTGTCAGCATTTAGCAAAATGGGTGTTTGCATTGATTTAAATGGAATAATTAATATTGATTCATTCTGTGTGTTTAAATGAACTAATTTAGGTTATAATCAAAATCTTTGTAGGTAAAGAATCTGTAATTTATTAGATCATGGCAGTTGTGCTCATTAGATTTCCAAGATAACTTAAAATTAACTCTAACTCTGATAAGATGACCAGAACTGAAAAATGAATTCCTGAATTAAAGTGAAGATGTGAGCTACAGTGATTATATTCTATTTAAAACTTACCTCAATTCTGGGTAAAAAGCTTAAAGTTGTGAAAATAAAATCATTCTGAACATTTGAATAAATGTAACCTTGACATTATAGATGGAGAGAGACCGTAACTACTTGTTACTATATTCTGGGCAACCATGTAAATAACTAGTAACAAACTAAAACACTAAACCTGTATGATTTGTTCTTCCTTCTTTCGACGTTCTTCATCCTGTAAACGTTTTTGTTGTTTTTTGGAAACCACCTCAGTAAAACCGTCATCATTCAAATTTGACTGGGGGTCTTCAACTACTGTTACTTCAGGATGGTCATCAATTATAACGACACCTATGGGTATAGGAAAAGATTTAAAATGCTATGTATTTTTTCAGTTGAAAAGATAAATAGAAATGTTTAGTTCAGTAGCAATTAAAAAAAGAAAAAAGACAAGACAAAAATCTAGTTCTTATAATTCACATTATAACCCAATTCACATACTACACAATGGCCATTTACTAGTAAGATTTGAAAAAAATACACAGACATATAAAAAGATTCCCATAAACAAGCTTTAAAAAAGTCTTCTGACTTTTTGAAGTGCTTCGAATGGTATGTACCTTTCTTTCCTTCAGTAATATCAGCAGTGATGTCTTTTATAAGTCAGTCAAAAAACAAAACAAACACCACTTAGTATCATCCATACTTAGTCGAATTGCTTAACCTCTACTTTTCCAGCATCAGATCTGTATTGTGCTATAAAGATCTACACCGCACTTTACTTCATTTGCATCTAACCATTCTAAGAGGGGGGTATTACCACTGTTTCACTTTTTTAAGGATGAAATAAACTCTGGGAAGCCGATATGCTAAAGGAGAATTGGTGAATAACCAAGATGGTCTTATGACTCTGAATAACTACTCTATGTAGACCACTTGTTTACAGTATATAGTTGTTAAAAATATATGAAATGTATGTGAAAGTTCTACATGAACATAAAATGGCATAGATATACAAATGTCGTAATAACCTAGCAGATGAGTAACTCAAGACGTATCTTCAACTCACTGTCCAACTAACAATTATTCAGCCTATCTTCTTAAAATCATACAACCCAGGGGTGCTGAGTGGCTCAGTGGGTTAAAGCCTCCGCCTTCAACTCAGGTCATGATCCCAGGGTCCTGGGATTGAGCCCCACATCGGGCTCTCTGCTCAGTGGGGAGCCTCCTTCCTCCTCTCTCTCTCTCTCTCTCTGCCTACTTGTGATCTCTGTAAAATAAATAAATAAAAATCTTCAAAGAAAAAAAATCATACAACCCAGTGAGTATAAGAAATCTAGATCCCTTAAATTTAATATTTAAAAGCAAAACTAAAATAGTCCAGGCAATGAAACTTGTGGGTGCAAGTATGATGTTTCCAAAATAAATATAAGAAAAGGGTGAGGCAATTCAGATAAATTATTTCAGTTTTGCAAATACTATACATCTTAACTGGAGAACACACAATAAAATTAGTTACTTGCTTGGGAATGGTACATACACATACAACTTAGGATGGTGCTAACTTGAGAGGGATGGCAAAAGAGTATTATTACAGAGTAGTTCATAGGGAATCAACCTGAAAACAATTCTCTTTGAATAGCTAAAAATGTGCATTTATGCAAACAATGAAAGGAAAATAAATCATAAATATTAAAACTGGCTTCCACTCCTTTAAAAAAAAAAGATTTATTTATTTGAGAGAGAAACGGTGCACACGGCACGTGCAAACAGGGAGAGGGAGAGAGACAAACAAGCAGATATTGTGCTCAGTGCAGACTCCAGAAGGCTCAATTTCAGGACCCTGAGATCATGACCTGAGCCAAAATCAAGAGTTCATGCTCAACTGACTGAGCCACCCAGGCACCACTGGTTTCCACTCTTTAAAAACCTATTACTATTATTCTGTTTTTATTTTCTTTTTAAAAAATACTTACTGATCTCTACACCCCATGTGGAGCGCAAACTGAAAACCCCAAGATCAAGGGTGGCACGGGCCACCATCTGAGCTAGGCGGGCACCTATGCTATTGCTTTTCTAACAAAAGTCACATTGGTTCTGATTTATCTAAGATAGTTCTACATATGTCTTAAAGAGCAATGCACATTTTAGTCAAAGGTCGAATGTTTATTTCCATGGACGCCATGCATTCCATTACTTCACAGCGGCAAAGAAACCTCTTGATATTTCTAAGTTCATCTCGGTCTTCCACTCTGACTAAAAGGTGTGTATGTAAAAAAGCTTTTCTTCACAGCCATGCCATCAGCCATTTTTCAATTTTCTTGCCAAAGAGCTTCTTTAGAACGTTTTGAAGTTCGTTTACCCAACTACATGCAACATTTACAGAAATCTGAAGGATACTTTCTGTTCGTTTTCAACACCCCGCTCTTGCCTGGTGCTTTATAACACTGTGGTCTAAAGAATGACTTAACGAGTATTAGGAGAACCTAAACATGAGTAACTCTTAATACGTTTTTAAAATGTATAGTTCAGCTTCCACTGTCAACTCAGAATTGTAATGTAGTTTTTTTTTTTTAACATTTTTTTTTTTTTAAAGATTTTATTTATTTGTCAGAGAGAGAGAGGGAGAGCAAGCACAGGCAGACAGAATGGCAGGCAGAGGCAGAGGGAGAAGCAGGCTCTCTGCCGAGCAAGGAGCCCGATGCGGGACTCGATCCCAGGACGCTGGGATCATGACCTGAGCCGAAGGCAGCTGCTTAACCAACTGAGCCACCCAGGCGTCCCTGTAATGTAGTTCTTACCTTTTTATGTCTTAATCCACTAATATAATACTTCAGGAATTTTCTACCCCAAAAATTCTTTGGAAGAAGGAAAACTGGTAAAGTTATTTGGGAAGACAATGTTTTGTGGGCTTCTGTAATCTTCATTTGCCATTTTAGAAATGTGGAGTTTAAACTCTTTATGGACCACCATAAGGCTGGCATCCAAGCTTCCCACGGGTCTACTCTGTTCTCTGAATCAGGGCTCTCCCAATGTCAGCACTGCCAGCACTGTGGTGCCCACCCTGTGCACTCTCACACGCTTTGCAGCGACCCTGACCTACACCTACTACTCTGTCAGCAGCACCCAGCCCCGCGTTGTGACAATCAAAACTGTCTCCAGAGGTTGCCGAATGGCCCCTGGGGTACAAAAGCTCTCCTGCTGAGAACCACTGCTCTACATAATCGAATTAAAAATTCTGAAATGCGCAATTAAGCTAAGTTTCTTTCTTTCCCGTATGAATCCTAAAATGGTATTCTAGAACAATAGTTCTCAAACATTTGTGTGCATCGTTATTACTGGACCACTTCATTAAAACACAGACTGCTCCAAGGGTTTCTGATTCAGCAGGTCTGAGGTAGGGGCCAAGATTCTGAATTTCTTACAAATTTCTAGGTGATACTGATGGTCTGGGGACCACACGTTGAGAATGAATGGCCTAGAAGTAATACTGCCAAGGTCCTGAGCCCAAATCAAATTTTGTAAATTTAAATAACCATTAACTAGATGAAAATTCTCATCTTTATTTTTAATACTGGAATAGTAGTACCTAACCTAACTTTCCCATTAACACTTTCTGTCTGGTCTTAGTGCATCTCAATTTTACACAGTATTTCCAGCTTAAGTCTATCTGAATGAATGGCAAACAGTGCATTTTTACATGTTTAAGTGCCTTCTCATAGATACTCCTTGTTAACTTCTGCAACAAATGTCTTCTTGTTGCTTGTGTTAATCCTTTGCATTTCATATCCTGTTACTTCATGGCTGCCGAAAGTACTTAACCAGACCAACGCCGCCTCCCGTTCTATGCGCTCTAGTACCGTATCTGAGGTAGCAATTCTATCCAGGGCATAAGTCACTGAGGTTGACATTTCTTTCACAGAAGATAAAGCACACGCACAGATAGACTTAAGCATCCTCTTTAGTTGTCTATGCTTTCCTACACCTGTTTGAAAGGTGGGTGGTTAATTTTCTCCTTTTTTATGAAGAATAGTGAAACCCTGTAGATTATCTTTAATGAGAACTTTATCAAGCATTCAAGATTGGGCTAAAAACTGGTGTTATTTTAGTTCACCATATCAATTAGTGATTTCATAATCAGCCTCTATTTTGACCTTAGAGGTCCAATTCTTTCTCTAATAACTTTATTATAGTATCAACTCAAATCCAACAGATAATATATACATAAAAGGAACATACTTGCATAATTGTTGAGATCAAACTGTGACAGCGCATCTACTTTTTCTTTGGGTTTTTTAGGGCCTGATTTGGGGTCTTCTCTTTTTTTCCCTGTGGAATCTTTGGCGTTCTTTTGTCCTGTACCGTTAGGTGCTCCTTCCTGATGGTGTGCAGAGCTGCCATTGACGGGATCGACAACAGCTGTGCCTGCAGACTGGTCATCAAATGGCCTACAAAACAATAATCCGAGTTACTACTACCTCCACACAACCGAACAGAAGAAAAACGATCACTGGCAGTTTCTAGAGTTTAACCTAAGAAGAAACAGCAGTAGGCTAGAGCACTCTTGACTCTAAAACCAATAAGGTTTAGGGACTTTTGTAGAGTACAACTTCACTAAAACTGAGCTTCCCAATAAAAGAAGTAGACTTTCTTTCCAGAATTAAATTCCAGAATTCCAACTGTGCCCTGAAGATTCTTGTTTATTGTATTTATCATAGTATAAATAAGCTAATCAACATGGCTTATAGCAGAAAATTCCTGTGATCCAAGCTAATCCAAAGTATCTGTTACTGAATCTTTTCCACACAGGGCAGCATATGAACAAATTTAAAAAGCGTTCTTTTTGCACTACCTTTTTTTTTTTTTTTTAAAGTTCAATCAGATACGTAAACGTTAAGCATACAAAACACTTTTTTTTTTTTTTGAAGATTTTATTTATTTGTCAGGGAGAGAGGGATCACAAGGAGCAGAGAGCCCAGTGTGGTGCTTGATCCCAAGACCCCGAGGATCATGACCTAAGCTGAAGGCAGAGGCTTAACCCACTGAGCCACCCAGGTGCCCCCCCAAAAAACACTTTAAATATGGAAATACTTCACAAACCAATAGTTTTTATTTCCTATCAAATTTTATTCTTGCATTTTTTTATTTATGAAATTATATCATGGAAAATGGGTTTACAAATTCATTTTCATCTTAGCCAATAGCATCACTTGAGATAAAAGCTTAATTAAGTGCTTGACATAAGGCATGAACTCAAACATTTAAAGAATAAAATAATTTCTTCTAAATGGGACTCTTTCAAAAGATTAATTACAATCAATAATTTATATTTCTGCAGATTCAAAGTTATTACCTACATGACACAAAGTCTTGCTAAGTTGTTGAGATCTACATTACATAAATACCAGATCAAGATTTCCCTTGCGGGGGGCGGGGGAAGACTTCCTTTGAGTGTTATTACTCAAAACTCTAATATAGTCAATAACTACATTGTAACTACATATGCTATCCTAATTCTTTTGACCTTTCAAAGAAAGGTTCAGGGGCGCCTGGATGGCTCAGTGGGTTAAGCCTCTGCCTTCAGCTCAGGTCACGATCTCAGGGTCCTGGAATTGAACCCTGTGTTGGGCTCTCTGCTCAGCAGGGAGCCTGCTTCCCCCTCTCTCTCTGCCTGCCTCTCTGCCTACTTGTGATCTCTCTGTCAAATAAATAAATAAAATCTTTTTAAAAAAAATAAAAATAAAGAGAGGTTCAAATTCTGTGTTAAGAAGGTACTCAGGAGGGACACCTGAGTGGCTCAGTCAATTAAGCGTCAAGTGCCTTCGGCTCAGGTGTACCCGGGATCAAGCTGCACATAGGGCCCCTTGCTCAGTGGGGGGCCTGCTTCTCCCTCTGTCTGTGCTCTCTCTCTCTGACAAATAAATACGTAAAATCTTTAAAAAAGAAAAAAAAAAAGTACTCGGAAACACAACTAGTCGCATTATTTAAACTTTTTCTAAGTTATCAGAAAGCAAAAATATTTTCGTTGATGGGTATGGTGACCTGAAATGCTAAGTATACTGCAACTAACCAATGGAGATTAATATATTACCTGAATAAATTATCAGCTCAGGCTACAAACCTGGGCATTTGATCAAAACCCAGGGAACACCGTAATAATAGCTGTTCACTATATACCACGTTAAGTTATGTAGTTCACAAACACCGTATCTTTCATCTTCACTAGTTTTTAGAAATATGATTATTTTCTCCCCATTTTACTAGTGAGGAAGCAGAGTTTATACAGGCAGTAAGTTACCAGAACTTACATTAATAACTAGCCAATATATGAATGAAAGAATGAATGAACAATAACTAGACATGCTGCTACTGTAATTTTTCCCAATATTAAAGAAATTAATAGTTTACCATAAACAACATTTTAATATTTAAAAAAACAGACCAAGCTTTAGCACAGTTTCAGAAAATTGTTTAAAAATAAATCCGATGGTGTGTGTGGGGGGGGTCTCTGGCTGGCTAAATGGGTTAAAGCCTCTGCCTTCGGCTCAGGTCATGATCTCAGGGTCCTGGGATCAAGTCCTGCATCAGGCTCTCTGCTCAGCAGGCAGCCTGCTTCCTCCTCTCTCAGCCTACTTGTGATCTCTGTCTGTCAAATAAATAAAATCTTAAAAAAAAAATAAATCCAACGGTATTTATGTTACTGGTGGCCTTGGTGGCAGTTCTGGGTCTCTATCCAGCTGGATCATTTACTGTATCTGCAACTCAAGAGGAAGATATAATTTATTCTTAGGTCCACATTCACTCCTAGCAACCAGTACAGAGTGACAAAGCATATGATTAAAATGTATTCATTTAAGTCCCAGAAGACAGCTACGAGCCCCAGAGTTTTGTAAAGAGAAACTGAAAAAGGAGGGCTGCTCATTATTAGTAAGATGACTTACCAAAAAAAAAAAAACAAAAAAACAAAAAAACCCCCAAAAAAAAACACCTTACCAAAAGGAAGACACTGTACAGGTCCCTCCCTAGATGTATACATTCTTCCAAAGCTACAAATACTTAAGATGACTCTTCTGGAAAAGGTAACTTAGAAGGCAAAGACTCCTGAAACCCATTAACCTCTCTCGCTCAACCACCATTACTTTGAGAACAGACAAAAAATTCAGGGGAGTCCAATGTCTGGGGTCCTCCACACAGACTGGCTTCTTTGCTCAGTTCAGCTTTCAGGTATGAATGCAATTAACAGTGAAAACAAAGTACTCACCCTCGTTTCCCACTTTTTGATGGTGGACCACTTCTCCGTTCATTTCTAGGACCTGAGAAATTCCTTCCGGATTTGGGTGGACCACTGTTGCCACGCCGATTCTGGCGATCTACACCAGGCCTCTGGCTAGAAAAACTTCTCTTCGCTATTTCCCTTTTTGGAGGTAAAACATTCTCTCCAGCCTTTGTAACTGCTTGTGCATTCAAATCAGCATTTTTTTTCTCATCTCTCTCACGCCTCTCATTGAAATCACTGCTTTCAGAAGCTGTTTCCCATTCTTCATTTGCCTGATCTGAAGAGTTCTGGTTAGATAAGTCTGGTGTCTTGTTCCCAGAAATATCCCCAGCAGGGTTAACTGGTTCTTGAACCACATTATTAACGGTGCCATTCGTGGGCACTGCTACCTCGTTGGTTTTGGAAGCAGCCTCTCTCTCTCTCAGACGTCTAAATCGAGGTGGCTTATCCTGCCTCGGAGGTCGGGTAGGACGCTGTCGTCGGGGTCTTTCTCTAGCTGGATCAAATTTTCGCTCAAATTTTGGAGGTCGTTTATCTGCTGGTATAGGAATAAACTGCTCATGTCTTCTTGGTGGCTCTCCGTCATCTGGTTTAGGAGCTTCTGCCTGCCTTGGGTTCCACTGATTATCCCTATAAGCGGGTCTCCGTAAGGTGGAAGGGCGAGACGGCCGGCCTCCAGGATCCCTTCCACCGCGTCGGAACGTCCCCCCTCTGCCTCGCCGTGTGGGCTCTCCTTTGGGAAGGAAGCCTGGTTTAGATTTATCATCATCCCTCACGTAAGGCTTTTCTAGAGGTCTGTTATCTACTCGGATGTGATTTTCAGGCTTGAAAGAAGACTGAGGCTTTATAGGCTTTTTGTTTTCAGACCGCTCCTCTCTTTTGGGAAGTTTACCTTTGCTTAAACTATCCTTATCGCTTGCACTTTCATGAATCTCACTGTCTGTGTCAGTCTCCGAACCCCGCTGTCGTCGTCTTTTAGGAACAACTTCAAAATCAGAGCTCTCACTTCGCGTTTCACTTTCTTCTCTCTGTCGAAGAGGTCCTGAGGGCACATGTTCTGTCCGTGGCTTATTGTCTCTATACTGAGGATAATCTCGAGCGTGGCCTCTCCCACCCCGGCCACGCCCTCCATAAGAACCTCTATAGCTTCGGCCTCTGGAATAGTATTCACCCCGGCCTCGACCTCTGTATCCTTGATCTGGAAACCAATCTCTATCTCTAGCTTCCTTCCAATAGGTCCTAGGGGGTAAAGTGGATTCTTTTTTAACTGCGGGTCTGGAATCCGGTCGAGGCCGCTCTAAAACAAGGTCTTTGCTACCAAGTTTCTCAGGCTGTTTTTCTTCTTTGACGGCTGGTGCTGGGACAGTTGGCTGGTTTACAGTTTTAGCCACAGGCTCTACCTCAACACTGCTGACAGGTTCCGAGGGCTTCTCAGCATCCTGAGGTGGCTTTTGAACCACAGCTGAAGCTTCTGCCGAAGGCAGTTTCTCCAGCTCTGGTTGAGGTGCTGGTGGAACCGGCTGTGGCCGAGCTGGTGCCGCAGGCGGTGGGGCTGCAGGAAGAGGATCTTTCTTTTCAGTCTTTTCAGGTTTCACAACTTTTTCAGTGACCTTTTCTCCCTTTTCCCCTTCTTTCTCCTTCCGCTGCTCTCGCTCCTCTTTCATATCCCTAAGTATAGGTTTTTTAATGGGACCTGATCTTCTCACAGGCCTATCGTTACCTTCTTCTCTTCTGTTGGAGCTTGGCCTTGGGCCCCAACGAGTTTCTGATTTAGATTTATATAGTTTTTCAGGTTTTGGTCCCTCTGAAGATCGTATAAAGCCATCCTTCTTTGGTTTTTCCTCTGTCCTTTCTGCCGGTTCCTTTGAATCAAGGCATCTGCTGGTTACTTTAGGAATGCTTGCAGATGGGTCATTTCTTTGCTCCTCTGATTTTGGGGTATGGTTAGATCCATGGGAAACACTTCTTTTCCGGGCAGGCAGGCTTTCTCCAGCCGAAATTCGCTCTTCTTGAGGAGTGCCTATAGTTTTTTGATCAGGTATATCAAAGCAAGCAGACGGATTGTTTGTGTCAGTATGACGAGGTCTAACGTCTTCCACAGATCTGCTTAAGAACTTTTGTGCTTCTGTCTCACTGGATTCTCTGACAAAGTCTGCTTTTGGATGAACCTCTAATTGACTATGTTCTACAGGATAAGCAGCAGTAACCTGTTCCTGATCCCGTGGGGCTTCAGACCTAAAAAAATGAGAATTCAGAAGCATAACTACCAAGACAAGCCCCTTCTCACAAGTGTACAGCAAAATAATCCCTCTAATTATAAACCACAAATGTCTAATCATAAAAACAATTTAAAAAGGATCCTAATCTTTATTAACCTTAAAAAGTTTACTGCAGCATTATTCGCAATGGCTGAGGTAGGAACAACCCTCAGTGTCCACTGACAGATGAATGGAGTAAGAGAATGTGGTATGTACATATAATACAGTGTCCTTTAGACACTAAGAAGAAAATACTGTTATATGCTACCAGATGAATGAGAACATTATGCTAAGTGAAATGAATAAGCACAGGACGAACACTGTAGGACTCCACTTATATGAGGTATATGACGTAATCAGACTCATCCAAGCATAAAGTGGAATGGTGATTGCCAGGGACTCGGAGGAACAAGGAAATTATTGGCTACTTAGTGGGTATAAAGTTTTAGTCTTTCAAGATGAAGAAATTCTAGAAATGTATTGTAAAAGCACCATGCTTATAGTTAACAATACTGTACTGAACACTCAAAATTTCATTGACGGTAGCTGCCACATTATATTTCTTCCCCACAATTACAAATGAACTTCATTCCTTAAGGAAAAAAAGCATGGAAGTTAGGCCATGCTGATGTGAATTTTTAATCCATCAAGACTAGTAATTCCCTTCTATAATTAAAGAATACACTAGAGTAGATCTTTCTTCCCCATAGAATCAGCATTACAAAATATACTCGATAAAAGGGAAGAAGTTCTAAGTTTATGGTTATAAGTTACTACAGATCACCAATTATTTCCTTCAAGTTATCTCTGTAAATTAGTATTTGCCTTTATCTTGGCATTAGAAGACTTCCATGAGGTACTGATAATAAAATGTCTACCATTTTTCATTAGTGGAAAACTGTAGCAACACTTTAAGCCAGACTACATGTCAAATAGTAGAAACTTGCCAATTTTCCATACAACACAGAATTTCAGTATTTAATTCAAGCGTACAGAACTAGGTGACAAAATGCTCTAATGCAGAAATGACAGAAAAAGCAAGCATATCCAAAAATGCAATGACATAAACTAAAAGGGAGGTAATCAGATTGTCACTCAGACCTAAATCAGAGTGATCTTCAGGGACACTACAGTTTTCATTTTACCACAGTATTCAATTTGTATTAATAACTTCTATAATTACCTTGCATCCTCAGGTTCTTCTGTTGCCTTGGGAGTAGTGGCCTGCGGAGGCTCGGTATGAGGATAGGGATCCGACCCCCACATAACACGAGGTTCAGACAGGGAGACTGCGTGATCTCTTGCAGATCGTGCTATGTGCTCAAATGACTCCGAACTGTTCGCTGATCCTTCCATCTGTTCTCTTCTCATTAACGGCTTAGGAGGAATCATTCCTTAAAAAAAGTCGGAAAAAGTTGGGAAAAACAATCATTATACACCTACTACGTAGTATATATTACTATACATATTATAGTACACAATCATATACTATATATACTATTACATATAGTATATGCCAATATACTACTACTACAAATACTAATTTGGAATTCTATATTGGAATTCTATACTTGAGCTAAAGAAATCCTTTCTGCCAAGTGAGGAACTCAAGAAATGATCAATGAAAATTATACAAGTTTTTCTGTGAATGAAATTTTTACTGTTGCTATTAAACAGATTTAAGAGGGGGCACCTGGGTGGCTCAATCAGTTAAGCTTCTGACTTTGGATCTCTGGTCATGATCCCAGATGAAGCCTTACATCAAGCTCCCTGCTCAGCAGGGAGCCTGCTTCTCTCCCTCTTCCCCTCCCCCCACCTCTCTCAAATAGATAGAATCTTAAAAAAAGGTTTAAGAACTGAGGAAGCAAACAAAGTAAACCATAACAGCAGCTATTTTTACTTTAAAGGAAAAAAATATATATATACAATGCCTATCAAAGAACATGTATGATACCTTTATGCATGTTAATAAAAACGATGATTATACCGGTAGTGACAGATTTCCAGAGAAAATATTTCTTACAGATAATTCCATTAATGTAGTTTAGTCTGACTAGCTGATCAATGCTATTTATTATGCCTCTTAAATTTGAAAACTGCAGTAGAAATTTTGAAATTAAGACATGATTTTTATTTTTTTAAAGATTTTATTTATTTGACAGACAGAGATCACAAGTAGGCAGAGAGGCAAGCAGAGAGGGGCAGGTGGAAGCAGGCTCCCCGCTGGGCAGGGAGCCCAACGTGGGGCTCGATCCCAGGACCCTGAGATCCTAACCTGAGCTAAAGGCAGAAACTTAACCCACTGAGCCACCCAGGCACCCCAAGGCATGATTCTTGATCATATTCTTAACACCCCCCAAATTTTCCTCTATAGCATTCTGTTAATGAATTATCTGGATTTATCCTGACAGATTCCATGCAACACTGCTGAGTCACTTGTTTTCAGCTCCCTATGGGAAAACTCAAGTATTTGGCAGACAAAACTGAAAAGCTGGAATACAGAATACATGGACAAAATTTAAATGCTTTAACACTTAAAAGAGTGAAAACAATTTACCAAATAACAGAAAATATTTTCAGACTAAAAAAATTTTAAAATATTTACAAAACAGAAAAGAACTAGTGTTTTGGTATTATCACACATATGATACAGTGTCTGGCATTTAACTACTCTGTGCTGAAAGTTACAGAATTTTTTGATTAAAAATCTAGGCACCCGGGGCGCCTGGGTGGCTCAGTGGGTTAAGCCGCTGCCTTCGGCTCAGGTCATGATCTCAGGATCCTGGGATCGAGTCCCGCATCGGGCTCTCTGCTCAGCAGGGAGCCTGCTTCCTTCACTCTCTCTGCCTGCCTCTCTGTCTACTTATGATCTCTCACTGTCAAATAAATAAATAAAATCTTTAAAAAACAAAAAAATCTAGGCACCCTTGGAGCGCCTGGGTGGCTCAGCCAATTAAGTGTCTGACCCTTGATTTTAGCTCAGATCATGATTTCAGGATCTTGAGACTGAGCCCTGTATTAGGCCCCCTGCTCAGTGATGAGTCTGCTTCAGAGTCTCTCTGTCTTACCCTCTGTCCCTTCCCTAGCCTATGTGTGCATTCCTGCTCTCAAAAAAGATAAATCCTAAAAAAAAAAAAAAAAAAAAAAAAAAATCTAGGCAACCTGGGGTGCCTGGGTAGGTGTCTGACGCTTGCTCTTGGCTCGGGTCGTGATCCTTCATGGTTGGGAGACTGAGCCCACGTCAGGCTCCGTGCTCATTGGGAAATCTGCTTCAGATGCTCTCTCCCTCTCCCTCTGCCTCTGCCCCTCCCACTCATGCGTGCTCACTCACTCTCTAAAATAAAATCTTTAAAAATAAAAAATCGGGGGCGCCTGGGTGGCTCAGTGGGTTAAAGCCTCCACCTTCAGCTCAGGTCATGATCCTGGGGTCCTGGGATCAAGCCCCACATCAAGCTCTCTACTCAGCGGGGAGCCTGCTTCCTCCTTTCTCTCTTTCTCTCTGCCTGCCTTTCTGCCCAGTTGTGATCTCTATCAAATAAATAAATAAAATCTTAAAAAAAAAAAAAAAAAAGAAAAAGAAAAAAATCTAGGGGCACCTGGGTGGCTCAGTCAGTTAAGCATCCAACTTCAGCTCAGGTCATGATCTTGGGGACCTAGGATGGAGCTTTGAGTTGGGCTCCCTGCTGGGCGGGAGTCTGCTTGTCTTTCTCCCTCTCCCTCTACTCCTGCTCCCCACTTGTGCATATGCACTCTCTCTCAAATAAATAAATAAAATCTTAAAAAATATATCGAGGCACCCTACTTTAAGTTCTTCCTAGATTAGAGTAGGAACGGCAGGATGACGACCTGCATGGCCGCCAGCGAGCCACACACCAACTTCAACTCACCAGGATGAATGGGCGGGATGTCCATGGCGGGTCTACCTGACATCATCCGAGGATCCATGTACGACTGCATCATGAGCCACCTGGGGTCAAAACCCATAGAAGCCAGGTGCTGAGGGTGAGGCTGCATGGGCTGGTAGAGAGGTCTGTGTGGCGGAGGAGGGACGGCGCCGCTGGATGGCTGTGAAGGCACCGGCTGCGGGAGCACACCTTGCTGCTGCTGCTGCTGCCACTGCTGCTGCTTCATCTGCTCCTGAGAAAGCAGGACCCCACATCTTGAGATTTTAGTTCCATGGGAGAAATCAACGTAATCAATCGTATCAGAAAAGAACAAGGAAAAGAACTCCAAAGTATTTAAGAGTGAGAGATGGTAAGTCAAAAGAACAAAAGATAAGTCATGACATTTTGGCCTTAAGGACTTAATCACGCATTAATTATACTAGAGAAATCATTCCCCAGAAAGGAAGATAGTGTCTATAAATGAGGCAGAAGAGAAAAAACCGACACAGAAGTTTATGGTAAAACCCATTATCAACAACCTTATTAAAAAGGTAAAGAATTTCATGGAAAATTTTGTGCTTTGTGTATTTTAGGTTTCATGTCAAACTACTTCTCAGACTACTGAGTAAACTTTTCAATCACACATACGTGATAAAATGTTTTACTGTTACCTGCTGCCGCTGAAATCGAGGTGGTAAAGACTTCTGAAACTGTTTAAAATAACCAGATAACACAGCAGGTCGAGGCTGAGAGCCCGATTCTGGCTCTGTTTCATGTGCCACTTGCGCGGTCTCTTTCTCACCGCGACTGCTATCTTGTCGAGTGAAAACTGCATCATCCTCTGTCCAAAGAAAGGGCAAAAAAATAATGATATTCACCTATGACACTTACCAAATACATGATGTGTGCACTGGCATAAAATTATTAGAGATTTTTAAAAAGGTTAATGAGGAAGAAAGCATCCTTAACAGCCCAAAAAACTGTTCTGTACTCTAATTCTGGCAGCAATCAATGAGGTTAACATTAAAGTAACAAAACCTTAGATTTCCTCAAAGCCAGGTTCTTTAGAGATCACAGGTCCAAGTACGTTACACCAAAAATTTGTATTTGATAATTTGTGATAGTAAAAAATATCAAATACTACCTATTTCCCATTGTTTCAATAGCTATTAATCCTGTCAGTATTTACCTGTGATTCACTAGGACTTATGTGAAAACACTTATGGCCTAAACATAAAATGTAACACAACAGTTTGCTTTTTGAAGAAGAGACTATTATCTATAAAGAAAACTAATGAATCGAAGTCTGACAACAGTGATCATGGCTATCTTCAAACACATAAATTATTATTCTATATAAAGAGTATCAAGAATGATACCAAAAAGAACTATATACTTATTTATTTACTAACTAAATAACAATTTCTCATCCTAAAAAAAAGATAGCCATATCCATTCTAGACAATGTCATTTGTCACAATTACAAAGCCAAGCTTGTTATAAATCCTCTTCTCAGAGAACTAGGGATGAATTTTTTAATGAAGTTTATTTTGCCAGTGTAAAAACCATGCTCTCAAGAATCACAAACCATGGGGTGCCTGGGTGGTTCAGTGGGTTAAGCCTCTGCCTTCGGCTCAGGTTATGGTCTCACGGTCCTGGGATCAAGCCCCGCATCGGGCTCTCTGCTCAGCAGGGAGCCTGCTTCCCCCTCTCTCTCTGCCTGCCTCTCTGCCTACTTGTGATCTCTGTCTGTCAAATAAATAAATAAAATCTTAAAAAAAAAAAAAGAATCACAAACCGTATTTTCTTATTGGCATTACATTCAATATTAAGAATGTTGTAAAAAGAAAAATAAAATATTAGAAAGAAAAGAGAGCTAATAGGTCCAACACTTAAAAATCCAAAGTGCAAATCATGCTGATGAATGCAGCAGAAGTTAAACCGCCAAAAAGAACAGAGAAGATGCGAATGAAAATAAAAGCACCATGAAATAATGATTAAAAAGAAAAGCATAAATAACTGGTGTAGACACAGTCTCGTCTGATAGTTAAATTAATCACTGTATCACTGACAGAACAAGGACTAAAATGTGAATTTCCTTATTTTGAATCTATAGTCCTTTCTCATCATCTGTTAATGAGATTCCCTAAGGCTGATATTAATCATCAATATTAAGCTATGCCAATGGTTTTCACTTCTTTTAAAAAGATAGTATTTATTTATTTATTTGAGAGAGACAGACAGACAGACACAGCAAGAGAGGGGGAGTCGGAGGGAGAGCAGCAGGCTTCCCAATGGGCAGGAAGCCCAATGCGGGGATCAATCCCAAAGACCCTGGGATCATGACCTGAGCCGAAGGTAGATGCTTAACAACTGAGCCACCCATGCGCCTGTGGTTTTCACTTCTATGGTGAGAAATTTTACTTTGTTAGTATTATGAGCAACCTGTGCTAGTGATATGTAACAAAAGCCCATTATCAGTATCAAATTATTTCTACATACATTAATACGAAAATTTATGAAATCTGACAGGGGCCTGCCTTATCTCATTAAAAAAAGTTAAGGTAACATACTCAACATTTTTTACAAAGAGCCAAGTCTGATGATGACTCTAAGTAAAAAATTAAAGGAAAATTTTGAGTAACTTTGTAATATAATTTCAAGCAGCACGATCTTGTAGAAAAGACCATGGGGTTTTGAGATTTTAAAAAAAGTTTCAGTATTTCTGTAACAGGAAACAGACTGAAACAGAACTACCTTCTTTTTTTTTTTTCAAGATTTTATTTATTTATTTGACAGAGAGAGAGAGAACACAAGCGGATGGAATGGGAGAGGGAAGAGAAACAGGCTCCCACTGAGCACCTGATGCGGGGCTCAATCTCAGGACCCTGGGCAGACACACTTAACCAACTGAGCTAGCCCAAAATAGAACCCCAAAATAGAACTACATCTATTTTAACAATAAACTGTTCATTAAGAATGAACTTTACTGGGACACCTGGGTGGCTCAGAGGGTTAAACCTCTGCCTCTTCGGCTCAGGTCATGATCTCAGGGTCCTGGGATCCAGCCCCCACATCGAGCTCTCTGCTCAGCAAGGAGCCTGCTTCCTTGCTCTCTCTGCCTACTTGTGATAAAGTGTGGTTAATACCAGTCAATTAGAGCTCTTAGCACAGTATCAGCTACGTACCTCCCACCTCACATTTTTTGTAAAGATTTATTTATGATAGAGAGTGTGTACACACACACACACACACACACACACACACACACCTGGGAGGAGGGGAAGAGGGAGAGAATCCTCAAACAGATTCCCGCTGACCACAGAGAGCCATAAGATCATGACCTGAGCTGAAACCAAGTGTCAGATGCCTAACCAACTGAGCCACCCAGGCACACTCCCCCCACACTTAAACCCTCACTGGAGCAAGCGGAAGAAAAAATTCGCTAACTTGGAGATAGGATAATGGAAATTATTATGTTTGAGGAACAGAACAAAAAAATAAACAGAGCTTAAGATACCTATAGGACAAGATCAAGAGACCAAACATACACACGGAGAAGGAGTCCAGAAGCAAGAGAAAGACAAAGGGGCAAAGAGACTATTTGAAGAAATTATGACCAGAAATGTCTCAAATTTGAAGAAAGCATGAATATAATTTCTAAGAAGCTCTACAAATTCTCAGAGTCCCAAACTGAGACACCTTATAATGAAACTTTAAAAAGCCAAAGAGTGAATCCTGAAAGCAGCAGGATAGCACTAAGGAGAAGTCACATACAGAGGATTCTCAATAAAACTATTTGATTTCTCATCAGAAACACTGGAGGCTGGAAGCATCTCAAAGTATTAAAAGCAAAACAAACAAAACAAAATAAAACCAAAAAACTATCAACCAAGAATACTATATGTGGCAAAACTGTTCTCCAAAAATGAAGGAGAAACTGAAATACTCCCAGATGAAAGCTATGAAAGAGTTCATTATCACTAGACCTGCCATCCAACAAATGCTCAAGAGTCCTGCAGAGTACAATGAAAAGGACAGCACACAGTAAACTAAAACTGCATGACAAAGTGACAATAAAGGCAAATACATGGGCAATTATAAAAGGCAGTAGTAGCAGGTAACTCTATTTCCGTGTGATTTATGAAATGAGTATTTCTTTAAATAAACCAATTATTAATCTAAAAGATAAAATAACATTACATTTTGGTTTATACTCCACATTGTTTTCCACATGATTTAAGAAACTAATGTATTTAAAATTAATTATTAGTCACTGGGGATACAAAGTTAAAGATGTAAATCTCTGATACCAGCAACCAAAGGGAATACAAATATAACTGTTAAAGGAAAAGGAATGATTTTTTTTTTTTTAGAGATTTTATTTCTTTATTTGACAGAGATCACAAGTAGGCAGAGAGACAGGCAGAGAGAGAGGGGGAAGCAGGCTCCTGGCCGAGCAGAGAATTGGATGCAGGGCTCCATCCCAGGACCCTGGGATCATGACCTGAGTAGAAGGCAGAGGCTTCAACCCACTGAGCCACCTAGGCACCCCAGGAATTTTTGTATATTATTAGTTAAGCTGGTATAAATTTAGTGTTATAACTTCTGCATGTTTATGTAATCCCCATGGTCAAAACAAAGAGGGTAGTTACAGAATATAAGCAAAAGGAAATGAGAAAGGAATTTAAAAATGTTTCAATACAAAAAAGTCATCTAAACACAAAAGACAGTAATCCAGGGGCACCTGGGTGGCTCAGTGGGTTAAAGCCTCTGCCTTTGGCTCAGGTCATGATCCCAGGGTTCTGGGATCGAGCCCTGCATCAGGCTCTCTGCTCAGCAGGGAGCCTGCTTCCCTTCCTCTCTCTGCCTGCTTCTCTGCCTACCGGTGATCTCTGTCAAATAAATAAATAAAATCTTAAAAAAAAAAAAAAAGACAGTAATCCAGGAAACGAGGGGCAAAAATGGATATAAGGCATATAAAATCCAAATACCAAAATGTGAGAAGTAAGTCCCTTCTAATCAATTACTTACAAAAAAATGGACTGAACTGGAACACATGGTCCAACTACAGGTTATCTCTTAAGAAACTCACTTAGGATCCAGACACACAAACAGATTGAAAACGAAAAGATGAACACAATATTCCATAGCAAGAGGAACCAAGAGAGCAAGGTGGTTATGCTAATACCAGACAAGCCTGGGTTTGAATGCGAAGTTTTACAAGAGACAAAGGACATTATGTACTACTAATAAAAGGTTCAGTGCTGCAACACAGAACCATTATAAATATTTATACATATTTAATATATGTTTAATAACAGACCATCAAAATGTCTGAAGCAAAATAACAACAGCGCTGAAGGGACAGACTGCTGTACGTTTATAGTCGGACACTTCAACACCTTGCTCTCAATAATGGACAGAAGAACCAGACAGAAGGTCAGTGAGGAAACAAAGGACTGAATACAATAAGCCAACCAGATCTAACAGACCTACAGGACACTCCATCCAACAACAGACATCACGTTCTTCACACATGCACACAGGACATTTTCCAAGACAGACTGTGCGTTAGGCCACAATATCAACGGTCAATAGATTTAAAATGATAAATCTCCTATAAAGCATTTTCTCTGACCACAAAAGTTAATTATCAAAAAGAGAAGTGAAAAAGAAAAACGCACAAGTCCATGGACATTAAACAACACTCTTTTAAACAACTAAGGGATCAAAGAATAAATGACAAGCGAAATTAGAAAATACTTGAGATGGATAAAAACAAAAACACAACATACTGGAATTTACAGGATGCAGCAAAAGTGGTGCAAAGGGGGCAAATTTACAGCTATAAATGCTTACATTAAAAAATAAAGATTTCCAATTCAAAACCTAGTGTTACGATGTAAGGGAAAAGAATAACAAAGTAAACCCAAGACTACCAGAAGAAAGGCAATGAAGATCAACACGGAGATCCACAACAGAGAGAATAGGAAAATAGAAAAAAATTAATGCAGCTACAAGTGGATTCTTTGAAAAGATCAACAAAATTGACCGACCTTTAACTAGGCAGGTCAACGAAGAAAAAAAGAGAGAAGACTCAAACTACTACAATCAGAAATAGAAATTGGGACATTACTACCAATTCTACAGAAATAAAAAGGATTATGAGAGTATTATGGGTAAGTATATACCACAAATAGGATAAGGAAGGTGAAATGAACAAATTCCTACAACACAAACTTTGTAGTTAAGTTTTTAAATCCAGATGTGTGTGTCCTCCAGCTTTGTTACTTTATTTCAAGACAGTTTTAGCTTTTCTGGGCCCCTTGAGATTTAGGGTTTTCTACATGTAAGACTGTATCATCTGCTCACATTACCTGCATCTCTGATATACTAATAACGAATGATCTGAAAAGGAAATTACAAAAACAATTCCATCTATAATAGCACCAAAAAGAATAAAATAAATCCTTTAGAATTTTTTTTAGGTTCTTATTTAACTAATCTCTACACCCAATGTGTGGCTTGAACCCATGACCCCGAAATCAAGAGCCACACACTCTCCCGACTAAACCAGCAAGGTACCCCTAAAATGCTTAAGAATTAACCAAGGAGGTGAAAGCCTTGTACAATGAAAACTACAAAACATTGCTGAAAGAAATTAAAGACATAAATGAATGGAAGCACATCCCAATGCTCACAGACTGCAAGACTTATTACTGTTAACATTATCAATGCTACCAAAAGCAACCTAGAGTTATGCAATCCCCACGAAAATCTCAACGGTGTTCTTTACAAAAACAAACACCCATACATCATGAAAAAAACTAACAAAGATTGAGGACTCACATATCCAGATTTAAAAGCATACAACAGGGTTGCCTGGGTGGCTCAGCGGGTTAAGCCTCTGCCTTAAGCTCGGGTAGTGATCTCAGTGTCCTGGGATCAAGCCCCGCATCAGGCTTTCTGCTCCGTGGGGAGCCTGCTTCCCCCCTTCTCTCTGCCTGCCTCTCTGCCTACTTGTGATCTCTCTCTCTGTGTGTGTTTGTCAAATAAGTAAATAAATAAATAAAATCTTTAGAAAATAAAAGCATACAACGAAGCTGCAGTAATAAAAACAGTAAGACATTAACATAAAGCCAGACGGATAGGGCAATGGAATAGAATCAAGATCCCAAAATAAACCATCACATACACAGTTGAATGATTTTAGAAGAGGCTGCTGAGACCATTCAAAGGGGGAAAGAACAGTCTTTCCAACAACGGTACTGGGAAAACTGAATATCCACATGCAGAAGAATGAAGCTCGACTCCTACCCTAACACAACGTACAAACTTAACACACAACAGGTCAAACATGTAAATGTAAAACATAGAAGTATAAAACTCTTAAAAGAAAACAGAACAAAAGCTTCGTAACATTAGATTTGGCCATGACTTCGTGGACTTGACACCAAAGGCAGAAGAAAAAATAGATGGATTTCATGTAAATTTTAAAGTTCTGTACGTGAACAGAATATCAACTGAAAAGGCAACCTATCTAAACTCCTAAAATGCAGCAACAATCTGATTAAAAATGGAAAAGGACTTGGACATTTCTCCAAAGATACACAAATGGCCAACAAACAAATTAGAAGGTAATACTCAGCATCACTAATCATTGGCAAAGCGCACATCAAAACCTGTAGTGAGATATCACCTCACACTTATTAGGAAGCCTACTATCAACCCCCCCTCCCCCCAGAAAGTAACAGATGTTGGTAAGGACGTGGAGAAATTAGAACCCTTGTGCACTGTTGGTGGGAATGTAAAATGGTACGGCTGCTGTGAAAAACAGTATGGTGGTTCCTCAAACAAAAACAGAACTGCCATATGATCAACAACTCCATTTGAGTATGTAATAAAAAAAAATGAAAGCAGGGTCTCAACAAGGTCTTTGTACACTCACATTCACAGCAGCATTATTCAAAATAGGTAAAATATGGAATCAATTCAAGTGCCCATGAACAGATAAACAGGTAAGCAAAATGTGGTTTTATATACAGATTATTAGCCTTAAAAAGAAAATTCTGCAATATGCCATTAGATGGATGACCCTTGTAAGACATTATACTAAGTGAGATAAGCCAGTCACAAAAAGACCAATACTGTATGAGGCATTGAAAACAGTCAAAATCAGAGAAAGAAATTAGAACAGGGGAGAAGAGGGAAGTATTATTTAACAGGTAGAGTTTCAGTCTCACAAGATGGAATGAGTTCTGGAGATGGACAGAGTGGTGATGATGGAACAATATTATGAATGTATTTAATACCATTAAACTGTACACCTAAAAATGGTTAAAATTCTAAACTTTGTTAGATATATCTCACCATAATAAAAAAAAATATGGGAAAAAAGCATATTAAAGTATCCAATAAAATTCAGCTTCTATAAAAAAAAAAAAAAAAACAAAACACTCAGGGCACCTGGGTGGCTCACTGGGTTAAAGCCTCTGCCTTTGGCTCGGGTCATGATCCCAGGGTCCTGGGATGGAGTCCCGCATCGGGTTCTCTGCTCAGCGGGGAGCCTGCTTCCTCCTCTCTCTCTGCCTGCCTCTCTGCCTACATGTGATCTCTGTCAAATAAATAAATAAAATCTTTAAAAACGAAAAACAAAACCCTCAATTGGGATGCCTGGGTGGCTTAGCTGGTTAAGCATCTGACTCCTGAGTTTGCCTCAGGTCACAATGTCAGGATCCTGGGATCCAGCCCCACAATGGACTCTGCACTGTGTGGAGTCCTACTTGACATTTCCTCTCCCTCTGCCCTCCCCCTGCTCACACACATGTGCACCTACACACTCTCTCTGTAAATAAGTAAATAAAATCAATCTTGAAAACCAAAGAAACCTCATTTTCATGTGGATTACATGCATACCTCAAAAACACGTGGACCCACACCAGCAGCACTATGAAGCCTCCTACATAAGAACAAGACTCTCATACCTTTATTACAGTTGGTCTCACTTTCTGGTTTTTCTATCACAGGTTCTAAAGTGGGTTCTTTGTGTTCAGTTTTTTCCTCCACTTTTTCCCTTTCTTTCTTCTCCAATTCACATTCCTTTTCCTGTTCCTTGATCTTCTGCAGTTCTTTTTCCTTTTCCTGCTGTCTTTCTAGTTCTTTCTCTTTTTCTTGCTTCCTTTCCTTTTCCAGTTCTCTCTGTTTTTCCTGCTCCCTCTCCAGTTCTTTCTCCTTCTCCTGTTGCCTCTCCCTTTCTTTCTCCCTCTCCTTCTCTCGCTCCCGTTCCTGTTCTCGCTCAAGTTCTTTCTCACGCTCCCGTTCTTTTTCTCGCTCCCTTTCTCTAATCTCTTCTGGAGACGGTTGTTTGTCCACTATGCCAAGCTTTTCATCCAATCGTTTCAGTTTCTCCGCACACGCTGCCTTCCTTTGTTCTTCCATTCTTCGCTCTTCCTCTTCACGCCGTTTCCGTGCGCGTTCCACGGCCGCAGAAAGTTCTGATTGCTGTCTTCGTCTCTGCTTCCAAATTTCATCTTCATCCGGTACTTGCTGCTTGGCGGGGAAAGGGCCTGGTCTTCCAGGTGCTGCCTGCCGCTCTGGAGGAGGATGCTGCAACGTTACGATAAAGGATAAGGTGAATGTGACAGACCTATTTCCAAATAACAACGGGTATCACAGACATGAAGAGGGAAGGAAAAACGTGACAAAATGTCACCAGTATTTCTGATAAAGCATACATATTAACATACAAACAAGTAGTAACATGGGGAAAATATTTAGAGAATTCTCCAAACTAAGACCAGAACAATTAACCTAGGCCATGCACCTATTTATTGTGGCAGACATTACCGTGCAAAGAATTTGTTGAGTAAAATAAGAAGCTGTCACAACATGATTTCAAAATCTAAATTTAGACACGAAGGAATTTAGAATGTGAGCGCTCGTAACTGTCAGTGATGGAACGCCTAGGGAGAAAGTCCATAAAGAGGCAGAACAGTGTCATGTGAGCCCTGAGAAGACAAAAGGTGCAGTTACAGGGAAAACAGCCAGAGATGCTAAGTGAAGACGAAGACACGACTACTGCCAACACTTCACAGGAGAAGAAATCCCTGGAAATCAGCCTGTACAGACATTCTTCTCGATCTCTGAATTGAAAGATGCAGAAATGAACACTCAGAACCCATAGTGGAATGTGGCATCACCTGAAAGACTTCTAACTGGTACGTTCTAGAACAACTACAATCACTGCCTGTAACTACGGGAAAATTAGCCGAATAAGAAGAGCACCTGAAGCGCTGGAATGTTAAGGAACTTAAAAAAAAAAAAAAAAAAAGTTTTAAAAATACTCATTTTATTAGCTTGTAGGGTAAAGAAATCTGGAAAGCCACATAACCAGTCAGAATCCTTAAAAAGGAGAAAATGGGATGATGAAAACACTGGACTAAATATAAAATATATAGATATATATGATCTAGACTCTCTATTTTACTATTACTCTATTTTACGGTCTGGACCTATCTAGCAGAAATCCAAGTAAAGATGCTTAATTGATCACTAAATACGTAACTCTTGAAGTCAGGGTAGAACTTTAAGGGCTACAGCTAAGTACCATAAGCACATATATGAGATCTTCCAGGGAAAGAGTCAGAAAAAGGAATAAGAACACAGCCCTTAACCCTCCAACACCCAGGGCACCGGGTGGCTTAGTAAGTTAAATGTCAGACTCTTGATTTCGGCTCAGGTCATGATCTCAGAGCGTGGGATCAAGTCCTGTGTCGGGCTCCACATTCAGTGGGGAGTCTGCTTGGGATTCTCTCATTCCCTCTCTCTCTGCTCCTCCCGCTTCCTGTTGTGTATGTGTGTGTGCACTTCCCCTCTTCAATAAAGGCACAGAAAAAAATACAAACTGAAGAGAGAACACAATAGCGTGATGTCTTAAACGTAAAAAAAAAGTCTTTTAAGAAGGATGGAAAGATTAGCTATGTCAACTGCTACTGAAATTAAGTAAAATGAAGACAAGAGAACTGAACTGGGCAAGATGGAAATCATTACTGACTTTCATAATAATAGTTTCAAAGGTAAAGTGGTGATGAAAAAGTGTAACTAGAAAGGGTTAGAAGAGAGAGAAAGTGAAGACCGCAAGTATAAATAGCTCACTAAAACTATTTTGCCACCAAGGAGAACAGAGAAATAGGGTGGAAACTAGAGATACCACAGACAGAGGGTAGTAAGAGTTAAGGAAGTTTGATTTTTTTAAAGTTTCTTAAGATAAGATGGGAGATAATATTACCGGTAAGTGAAAGAGATGGGAGCAAGGGAACAGTAGAAGGGTTGCTCTTAGCAGCAAGGACAGGAAGAAGTCAGAATGGGAAGGGCACTGAAATGGGAAAAACAGTTGCTTCTCATCTTCTTAGTGAAATCAGGAGGAAGCATCAGCTGAGAATGAAGAGGAGCAGAAAAAAGAGGAAGATACGCAAAGAACTAACAAGGTAATATCCATAATTGTTTCATAAAAGTTATTAAATAAGAAACATACAGAAATCTTTCCATTAAAACAAATAAAGTCAAAATACATACAAAAATACATACACACCACAAATAGTACATACAGACCGCAAAGAAGCATTTAAGGTTTACCTGCTGTGCAAGCAATTTTGGAGGTGGGGGCAGGTGTGAAGATGGTCCACGTTCCTATTATAAAGATAAGGACTATTACGAAATAACCAGATAAAAGATATCTACTAGAAATATTTCTGAAGGTACTTAAGTACGCCTGTAATTTTGAAATTTTATTTATGTAAGCCCTATTCTTTCTCTGAATTTTTTCCCAATGGCAAACTAAATGTAGAAACTTACCTAAAGAAATGAAACATCTAGAACATACTGAGAATCAAATACAATACATACTCACTTGCTACAGTTACAACCCTATTCACTTGCTAATATATACCTCAATGTCACACACACACACAAATCAAGACACCACGATATGGCATATGATATTCCTGTATTCTTTTATAAGAAAGGAATTATCACTCCCCATGTTATCACTCCCCAGTAAATCAAAGTCACATGAAACACGAACTTTATTTAAAAAAAAACTTGAAAAATCCTTTTTCAGAGTTCACAAATTCTCCAATGACTAATCAATGCCTTAAGGATGAGATTCAAACTTCCTGAAGAGCATACATTTAACAAATGGTTGTCACGTAGCTCTCTTAACTCCTTTCCTGTATCAAACTACTAGAGACTTACAGAATGTGCCACGCTTTCTCATGCTTCTCTACTCTGAACACGTTACCACTGCTTAAAATTTCTCTCTTCCCTTTGTTTCCTGGTTAATTCCCACTTCAAGTACCGAGTCTTTCACAAAACCTTTTCCAGAGAATGCTCTAAGCGCTTATGTGCGCTAGGTCACACCAGCTGTCACACTGTCTTGCAAATGATACTTGATGTCTTTTCATTTTACAGAGACTGCTAGCTACCTACCTTATCTCCTTGAAGGGATAAGTTTCTCAATCTGTTCTGTATGAATTCAACAACTACATGCTGAGTGCACTAGTTGCTAAGTGGGCTCTCTGGATGTCAGCCCTTTTTAATTCCCAGCTTGCAATGCAGTTTCTTGGAAGTAGGATCAAGTGTATCTGTTTACCCACATTACCTCCTTTCTTTAACAATGTTCTTCAAAATGACTCACCCTTAATAGATTTCTCTACTCCTTCCATGTGATATATGTACTATCAGCGTACTATTTCACATATGAATACGGACTAGAATTTATAGAATACTCAATAAACCATAAAGCACTTAGCAATGTTTGGAAAATCAGTTTATACCTCCACTTTAATAGGACCACACTATTACAAGACAGAAAAAAAGTGAAATTTTAGTTTCTATTTAATAATTTTAGCTACTATATTGACAGTTCCTGTAAATATGCAATAAAATTATGGTTTACATCTACAACTACTCAAGACAAAAGATAATTTCCTTTTCCTAACTCTTCTTTCAACTTTATGATGAATTCAACGAAAGTTCAGGTAGCGAATATGATCTCCTTAAGTCCAACAAACCTGATTAAATGGAGGTCCCTTCCCATAGGGACCTTTGGATACCGATGGTTGAGCAGGTGTCTGAGAAGATGACTTAGCATTGCAAGCTTCATCTGCTTCTTTTCGGTTTTCAGTGTTTTCAGAAGCTTTTGAACCTTGATCCTCACTAAGGAATCAAAATCCAGGTGAAGTAAGAAAGTAGACAGACTACACCATAAGTAAAAGCATTTTGTCTATATAAGATTATTTGTATATGGGTTGGGGGGTGGAGTGGGAGTATATCAAGGAAATGAGATGGTCTTGTGACCTAGTGGTGTTAACATTCATTCATTCATTCATTCATTCTATGCCATATATCAATAATGTGTTAGGAACTGGGTTTGGCCAAGTTATCATCACAAGGTCTGAAGTACAGTAGCATAACTGTCAAATACAGACACTCACACTTGACATACAACTTCACAAAGGACTACAGCCCCACCATTTTGTATCACCCCAACCCCAAAAGTCTCATCTAAATGCAACCAAGTAATACTATAATTAATACCTGTATTCTAATTTATCCTGACTTAATGAAAAGACAGAAGTCAAACTATGGCATTTTTTTAAAATCACAAGTGCAAGGCAGCTCATAACTGATCATGAAACAGCAGTATACTGCAATGCCATGGCTAAAAACTATAAACTCTACCAAATTGTCTAGCAACTAACAGCATGTGCATGCAAGCTCCTTATATTTTAAGAACCCAATTTTTATGGTATATAACTCATGTATTTCTGATTCTGATGCCCCTATATTGGAGAAGAGATGAGAAGCTCCCATTTTTCAAACTATAATGCCGCTTGCTGAAGTTTAAAAACTCAAAGACTTGAGAGACGCCTGGGTGGATCAGTTGGTTAAGTGGCTGCCTTCAGCTCAGGTCATGATCCCGGCGACCTGGGATCGAGTCCTACATCAGGCTCCTTGCTCGGCAGGGAGCTTTCTTTGCCCTCTGCCTCTGCCTGCCACTCTGTCTGCCTATGCTCTCTCTCTCTCTCTCTCTCTAATAAATAAATAAAATCTTAAAAAAAAAAAAACAAAAAAAACTCAAAGACTTGAGGCAGTTCCAGTAACTCAAGTGATTTTTCTCTAGTTTTGTAAATATGAAGTAACAAGTTTGAAATAGTCCCTGATGTTGTCTTTCAAAAAATCACCAATTAGATGGTTAGCATCTGAACATCTTTTTAAAAATATGTATTTTCTTTAGAAGCATCAAACTTTAATTCCTTGATTAGCTGTACTTTTAAAATTTGGCTCAATAATCACCTTCCCAACTCAGTAAGTTCTTGGAGTAAAATAGAGAAATTCTATAAAAAGGGAACAAGTGACTATTAACGAAGCTTCTGCACAAATGGATAATGTTATACCAATAAATTCATAGTATTACTCGTGGAAGGTATCCAACAGCTTACCTGTTGCTTTCCTTAGGACTACCACTTCCTTGCTCATCATCATCACTGAAATTCAGCTGTTCTGTATAATCTACTTCCATCTGAGCACCTATTAAATTAAGGAAAATTCAGACTGACTGTTTAAAAACATCTAAGAACTAAAAGCAATTAATTTTGCCTCTTACCTGCCCAACCTTCATCAGCTTCAGCATCTAGGTTATCAAATTTATCAAGCTCCTTCAGTTCTGATGCACTAAGGATGGAGGGGCGTTCAGGCTCAGAGGCCCATGAAGGTGGTGGACCCCTTCCTCGAAGGCCTCTAATGAACAGAAGTTATAAGGGGAGAAGATACATAGTTTTAATGATTATAAATTACATAAATATCAAAAGACTGAAATTTAATTCATTTCAATTCAACATTAGTATTGTCTAATATATAAAATATTTTACACCTGACATGTGTATGAAGAAATTCTAATGTTAATACATAAATTCAGGACAATATATAATTCTGTTACAAGTATTTAATATCAGAAAATGGGTTTTTTTTAATTGCCAAAAATTTAAGATAAAACAAATATGTTAAAGAATAATATGGCTAAGCCTAATACTAATATCAAAATAAAGAATGTTAAGAAAAATCATTGAGGAGAATGCTCAAGTCTCACATTATGCAAAAAAAAAAAAAAAAAAGGAAAGAAAGAAAAAAAAGAAAATGGGAAGTCATTTAACCCATGGAATTAGAAGAACAGATAAAAAACTATCACGTCTCACCAGGGACATGATTTTCAGTTTTCAGAATCTTATGTCAATTTAAAGTTTTTATTAATTTAAAGTTTTAGAAGAATATTGTTGTGTCTTATAAAAGCCAATTATTTGGGGCACCTGGGTGGCTCAGTGGGTTAAAGCCTCTGCCTTCAGCTCAGGTCATGTTCTCAGGGTCCTGGGATCGAGCCCCACATCAGGTCTCTGCTCAGTGGGAAGCCTGCTTTCCCCCACCCCCCGCCTGCCTCCCCGCCTACTTGTGATCTTCTCTATCATATAAATAAATTAAAATCTTAAAAAAAAAAGTCAATTATTTGTTCATGGCAACTCTATTCTGAGGTCAAAATAATGAATCAATCACCACAATCCATTCAACCTCCAGGAAATCTTTTTCTTTTTTCTTCCAACCTCCTCCAGAAAATCTTAATGAGCACATATGGGCCTTTGTGCTTTGGCAACTTTTATCATTTAATAGCCTTACTTGTTTGTTTCAGATAAAGAAGGTGGAAACCTCATGGGACCATGAAGAGGAGGATACGCCATCCTCGGATACTGCTGAAACATCTGAATGAAGAAAACAAAACTGGTAAAATTTGTAACCAAGTTATATATGTAAAAAAAAGGGTCACCCTAACTAAACCTGAGATTATAAATTATAGAAAGAAAGATTCTAATAAACGATCCTATGAATAATTAGCTCTATCAACTGATATATATAATCATTTACTCACAGTAACAAGCTATCTGTTAAGAAACTGCATCTGGCAAGACTTTACAAACACAGGTAATAACTAGGACACATCCTAGGAAGAACCTCAGCCATCCCATTAACAAAATCACATAAACGATTATGTACCAACATGAAAAACCTAAAAAGACAACATGCATGCACCCCAGAGAACTGCAAAGCCCTAAGTTTAAAGACTTGAAAGAAAATAATGTGACACTTCATCATAATGTAGTAGATTAACTGAAGATAGATTTATTGGTAAAGAGAAATTCAGTTTAGATAAAAGTATGGTCCATAACCCTAGGTAGTGAGGAAGACAGTGTATACCGGAGATTTCCCATGGGTGGGAAACAGGTGGATTCCGATTCAAGCTAGTACACAGATCATAATCCTAAACTGCTCTCTATGCTAACCTGGATTCGAGAAACTAAGCTTTGAAGTTTAAAGATAGATTATAAAGACAAAAACACCAAGAGAAGGGAACAGATGTCAAAAGACATGCTTGTAACTATTTGCTTATAACCAAGTCAAAATACAAAAAGAAAAAAGAAAGAAAAGAAAAGAAGGAAAGAGGGAGAAAAAAGGAAGGAGAGAGGGTGGGAAGGAAGGAGAAGGGAAGGCAGGCAGGCAAGAAAGAAAAGAAAGGAAGACTGTATTACCTTAAATACCTAATTTATATCCTGAAATAGATCAGCAGTTTCTCAAATAAAAAACAGTAACAACAACAAAACCCTGTTAGGTAAAGAAATTACTCTGTACTTGAAGAAAGGTTATCATTCCATCTAAAGATGCAATTTCTAAGTAGGGTTAGAGCAAAGTTAGTTAAGCAGCAGCTGAAGCTCAAATGGAGAAGCTTTTTGTCTGGTGAATACTAAGAATTTCTGGTTACATCATTGTGTACTGAAAGTCAGCAAAAACACACTGGAGGCAAATGTTCACAGGTAAAGTTTCATTAGATCCCTCAGGCAGAGAGATTAATTTCACACATTAAATGCTTAAAATTTAGGAATTTGCCACAAAAAAATTGTAGAAACTATCTTTAAATTCTCAATATATAGTGATGGTTTTAAGAACATTTTTGTTTTTGTCAGTTAGTGAAATACATTATTCAAATAAAATGACTGATGAAACTGGGAGAAAAGCCCACTTGATCTCCCCTTTTAAAACTTTCCCTTCTACCACCCCACCCCCAAGCCTAAATTTCAGGGCTCTATGGAAGAACAATTTGAAACTATTAGGCAAAAGTAGGTGTAAATAATTTTTCAAGACCAGGTCAGCATATAAGACTAATTTTTATTATACTCCTAAAATTAAAAAAAATATTTTTTAATCATTTATTTCCCTCCTCTACCCTAGAATAATTAAATACTACAAAGAAATACAAAATGTGAAAAAAAATATGGGTATTTAGAGCCTGAATACTTGGGAATTAAATCATAATAAAAATAAATATAAGAACCAGACCTTTACTCTCCTTGAGATTAATGGTCCCCTAAAAAATGTTAGTTTATTTACTTGGGCACACGTAATTTACCATATCATTTCACAGGAGGCTGAGAGCAAACAAATGTATGAGGGCACCAAATCTACCCATTAATTTAAAGAAATATATGGGTCACAAGTATATATTAAATAAAACGACAAACACAGAATCAGCAAAACCCAGACTATGAGAAACTCCACAGGTTAACAAGTAAATTGTAACAAGCTCAAAACAGAGAGAGAGAGAGTGGTATGGAGGGAAAGAAGTAACCAAAGATAACAGGGTTCCTAAGAAAAATATCAACTCAAAGAATAGATGTTATTTGGATCCTAATCATGAGATAATCAGACAAATCCGAATACTGGCTTGGTATTTTTAAAAACTCCTTAGGGGCACCTGGGTGGCATAGTCAGTTGGGTGTCCAACTCTTGGTTTCACCTCAGGTAGTGACCTCAGGGCTGTGAGACTGAGCCCGTGTCAGGCTCTGCACTCAGGGTGAAGTCTGCTTAAGGCTCTCCCTGCCCCCCACTCTACCCCACCCATAAATAAATGAACAAATCTTTAAAAAATTTTTAAAAATAAAAGAACAAAAACTATGCTTTTAGGTATAACGCCATGGTGGATTCTTCTCCTAGCCTTCATGTTTTAAAACACAACCTAAAATACATATGGATGAACTCATGTATCTAGGATGTTGCTAGTAATTGGAGGTGGTGGGAAATAGCTCAACCAAGATTGACCCCAAGCTGTTAACTACTGAAGATGGATGGTAGATATGGAAGAATGGGGAAGTTCACTGTACTATTATTTCTGTTTTTTAATATGTTCAAAGTATTCCATAATGAGAAGTTAAAAAGAACATAAAGGTATGTTTACCAATGAAAACTTTAGAACTAAAGCACATATTAACCTTTTTTATGCCATGAACCACTCTTTAGCAGTCTGGTCAATCCTATGACACTCTTCTCACAGAAATGTTTTAAAATCCATAATTTAAAATACAGAGTACTACAAAAGAAAACACTTATGCTAAAATTTTGTTAACACAATATTTTTTTTAAAAATTTATGATATGGTAATATATGTGCTTTTTCATTAAATAACAAGTGGGGCTACCCATGGGTCTAATAACTACTTTGAAGTATTACTAAATATATTTTGCCACACCCACAATTTTGACAGGATATGAAAAAATATATATGATCCCTATTAATGATAAAAACTAAGGTACTCCTGATACTTCTGTGATTTATTTCCTGCATCCATAATCAAGGAAAATGGTTATTTTTAGTTAGATGTTAATGCAAATAAAGACCTAAACTTTTCCCCATTGTAATTCTCTCCTTGGAACCCAGAGCAAAAACCTATTTAACAATTCACTTCTTCAACAATACTTACATAAGGAGGCATCATAGCTCTGTACTGGGAAGCAAGAGCAGGCTGCTGTCCATTCAGTTTAGTCTGTGGAGGACCACAAGCTATCCTCTTTTCCACCACTTTGAGGATATCATTCTGTTCTGATGTTCCAGCCATGCTTTCATCCTGGGCAGAGAGCTTTTCATCTTGGTCAGATGTCAAAGGTGAGCCAGCAGACTTACCACCATCTCTCCAACAAGCAACATCTGGTATGGAGAAAGGCAGAAATTCAATTAAAACAAAGAAACAGCGGGGCACCTGGGTGGCTCAGTGGGTTAAAGCCTCTGCCTTCGGCTGGGGTCATGATCCCAGGGGAGCCTGCTTCCCCATCTCTCTCTGCCTGCCTCTCTACCTACTTGTGATCTGTCAAATAAATAAAATCTTTAAAAAAAACCCAAAAAATAAAAACAAAGAAACAGCACCACAGAATTCAGCACTGAAATTTAAAAGGGGGGAGAGGCATAAGAAAAAAGCTAAAAATGGAACACGGTGAAATAAAACTAGGCACATTTCAAAATTCAAGAGAGTAACAACACAGTGAAGCAGCAGTGAAAATCTAATCTAGGCCCTACTCCTTTCAAAGTGTTAGGTAATCAAGAACAGTGGCTTCCAAAGCAGAGCAGATGGACCAAGAGTGTACCACCAAAAGTAAATACTATGGTTGGGGAAGAAATTATTAGAACTTCTCTATCGAGCTTTACCAATATTTGATATAGAGATTAAAGTCACTATTATACCTGAGGTGTCCTGAGGGAAGAAGGATGGGAGCCCTGTGGTGGTGACAGTGATGCCCTCATCTGTTTTCAGGCTACTATGGCTAGTTACCTGTGCCCCAAGGGGGCAAATTTAGTGACTATATTATCTGGTAAAACTGCACTCAGTGAAACAGGTAAATGATTTTACAAGGCATCTCTTCGGCGGGCAGCCTCTAAGATGATCCAAAAGGGGTTTCCAGCTCCTGGTCTTCACACCCTGCACCAGGACTGGTTTGTGTTACCTACAGGATAAAGCAGCAGTGATCACATGTCTCTTATAGGGTTAAGTTATAAAGGACTGGGCTTCCATCCTGAGTCTCCCTTTATGTGGGGAAGCAACACTGTGAGCAGCCCACACACAGAAGAGCTGCCGTGAGTGAACTTGGCACAGCAGCCCCGACAAATCAGCATCAGAGGACACACTGCAAGGCTGCTGAGAGAGTTCCCGAGCCACAACTCCAGGAAGCAAGCAGCTCCCAGATCCCTGACCCTTGCGCACTGCATGAAATCGTCAAGTCAGTTCCGCTGCCAAATTTGTTAGGCAGTAGCTGGTAACTGCTGGAAACCAACTGACCAAGAAAACAGTAAACGGATGCCTGGCCGGCTCAGTGTGTACACAGCATGGGACTCCTGATCTCAGGGTTTTAAGTTCAAGGCCCATGATGGGTGTAGAAATTACTTAAAATTAAAACAAATAAATAAATATATAAATGAATGAAAAGAAAATAGAGCTGACAATCTATTTCTAATATAAATACATAAACTGCATAACAATAAGAACTAAAAATAAGAAAAGATGATTTACCCAGACCAGACAAGAAATGAGCCATAAAAAGTATGAAATGTATTAGGTTATCAGAAATATGGATTTGTGGGGTGCCTGGGTGGCTCAGTGGGTTAACTCTCTGCGTTTGGCTCAGGTCACGATCTCAGGGTTCTGCGATCGAACCCCACATCTGGCTCTCTGCTCAGCAGGAAGCCTGCTTCCCTCTATCTGCCTACTTGTGATCTCTCTCTCAGTCAAATAAATAAATAAAATCTAAAAAAAAAAAACAAAACAAAAAAACAAACAGAATAAAAAGAAATACAGATTTGTAACCATCACTGAAAAGAGAAATCTCCCATGTATGTATATAGGATCCTCTGAGATATTTTCCTATCAAATAGGAAACTAATATAATTAATAAGACATTTAATCTCAAGGATTTTATATTTCTATTTTTAGTTTTATGTCCATAATACAAGTATTTCTCATTAACCAAATTTATCTGGGTCTTTGTTGTGAGTTCAGAAAGCACAAGATGGCTGAATGTTAACAGAGTAGCAAATAAGTGGATACAATTTACAAATAAATATTTGCGTATTAGGGAGAGTGGTTTAAAGTTTTACTACTATAGAAATGACCAGTATTAATGTGCAAAGAACTCACCCAGGCATCTTGTTAAAATGCAAATTTCTAATTCAGTGGGTTGGGTGTGAGGCTCAAGATGCACATTTCCCACATGTTAAGTTATACCAATGCTGTGCATGTGAAAACCACAGTGGAATGACAGCAGCTACTCTGTCTTTTCAAACTAGGTATGTCATGCATATAATATTGGGCAGGTTATATTACAAAATACAATAAAAACATAATCTCACTCACTATTTTTAGGAAATAGAAAGTATTCTTACTTGGTGGGCGTAAACTGGGTCCAGGTCCGTAATTGTCATCACTTGTTTCTTTTTCTTTTTTTTCCTGATCCCCAGCTGCCTGCAGGCTGGGAAATTCTTGCTGAAAATGACTATTCACCTGCATTCCTACAGATTTTGTTAAAACATTAAATGTAACTTTTATACTGAAGATAATGAAAAAACCCTCCCAGGATAGAGGTGTCTGCTTTTCTCTGATATATTATTCCACTTTTTATATAATTATATATATATATGTATATATATATAATTATTCTACTGTTTATATCCATAAAACTTTAAAATATATTTAGAATTAAAATCCCTTGGAAAGTTAATGAACAGCCACGAGGAGATAAAAATCTAAGAAAGGAATCTGCCAGACACTGTTCAGGACTCGTTAAAGATAAGCAAAATGAGAATTTCACTCCTGTGAAATTTTATTATGACTCTGCATTTTCAAAAAGTCAAATTCCTTTGCTGAAAACTCTAAGAATCAAATATGACTACTGAAAAAACACAGGAATCAACACTGCAAGTAAGTACCACAACGAGGCTAAAACGCCTTCACTGAATTTATGACTGGTTACTGGCTGCACGTCACTAGTCATCCATTCACCCCCTACGTATCTGCCTATTTATTTATATACTTTCATAAAGTAAAAGATCTGATTTTATTAACTTGAGGGTGCAGACAGGGCCTAGATTTTCAATACAATGTTTTATAGATTTTTCCTGTCTTGCAAGTGGGAAACTTAAATTTTGCTGGGGAGTCGTCATTCCTTGAGGGGGTAGGACTACAGCTACCGTGCTTTACAGCTATTGTCTAGCTCTTCTCTACCATGGAAATCCTGAGTAGCACGTATCTGAAACAGAAGAGGTTAGGGAGCACAGATGATGATAAATATGGTTTCTAGCAATTTACACAATGTCTGGGTACTTTTATGCCCCAAAGAACAGAAGATACAGTTTTTTCTGGTCATGTAGGATGAAGATAAAAACAATGTGGGACAGAAGGTATCGTAAAACTCCTGTTTAAATCCCTATCATTGGCTCAAACATGGGTCTTGGCACTGAAACTTAACTACCCCAAGAATTCAAAGAAAAAGCCTTTTTTTAGGACCTGAGTATATCCTTGACAATGTTCTCTGCCCTTGTCAAAATCCACCCCTTATCTCCTACATGGCTGTTCAGTAACTATCAAACCTAGTCAGTTTCCCCAGCTAACGACCACTTACCATCTCCTTGCCCACCTTGCTTGTTACTGGCCCAAGATTTGGGAGCAGGTGCTACTTCTGGGGGAGCTGCAACCCCAGGTTTTGGTTGTGCTGGTGGAACTTCTGGTGCTCTTGAAAAAAAATATGAATCCATTATTTCAGATATTGTATGTTCAAATAAAATAATAATAAATATTGTAGTTAAGGTAAATTTGTGAGCAGACTGTTTTGGCTACGTATTTACTCATAGCTGCATCTCCCACAAATGCTTTTCCTCTGCAACACTCCTTTAAATAAAGTGTAGCTATTTTCATCCCCCTTCATTTCTTCCTTTTAATAACCCAAGGAGAAGATAGCTTTACTTGTCATTTTGTAAAAAAAGAAAAAAAGAAACACTCATTATTGAGTATAATCACTAAAATCTATTTTAGAGAGTAAACACTTACATGTAATTAGAAATAACATTACAGGCATACACACTGTCCGCACTGGCAGACTGGATAGGGCTAAGGCTAAGCAAACTCTCCACCTGGCAGTGAACAGGTTCACCACTGTACTTACTACTGTTATTCAAAGTGGTAACAGCAATTTGCCCAATACATCCCCATGAGTAAAAGGGGTTTTTTTGGTGGGGAGGGGAGTGGAGAGACAGAGAGAGAATCTTAAGCAGGCTCCATGGCTACAGCCCGATCACAGAACCCAACGCAGGGCTCGATCTCACAACCCGGAGATCATGAGTAGAGCTGAAGTCAAGAGTTGGACACTTGAATAACTGAGCCACCCAGGTGCCCAAGTAAATCTTTGTAATGAGTTAATGCTTGAAAATGAAAAAAGATAGTAAGGAGTTAAGAGACTTAAGAGAGGCAATGTATTTCTGGTACACTCAGACCTATAACTGGCTCGTTACTACAAAATAATTCTACAACAACTAAGAAAGAGAGAACAATGTCTTCGACAAGTTTTATTCAAGTGAAGTCAAATTTACTATATAAAGCTCCCCAAATAGGAGTATAGAAACTGGGTAACAAATAGAGGCAAAAAGCATCAAGTACCCAATCACTTGTATTATTTTTCTAAATTACCACTGCTTCAGTTGGTCATTCAATAAACTAAGAGCTTTGCAAAATCCCTGAAATACAGAATGCTACACATATGCTAAATGACTAAGAGGGACCTTATTAATTCTCTCGCGGCCTGCTTGCTAATAACTCTTTACTCATTTAAATAGAATTACCTGAGTACTTGCAATGAGCATCAGGTATAGTTTCAGTGAACCGGCAAATTCTTAGCATCATGGAAATTATTTAATAGAATCAACCCTTAACTACATTAGAAAGTGAATGCCTCATATGGTAGGGGCTCCAGGAAGCCTGACACAGTCCGTCAGAAAAGCTGTGATTAGCAATTCCGTTATCTGTTGTACCTTGACACATGGAAATACTGCCACTAAACCTACTCACACATACACAAAATTCATCAAAGGTGACTATGTAAACGACTTCAAATGGCCTGAGATACCTAACATACATAGTTCAACGTCTAACACACAGAACAAACGCAAACCGAAGTTCCCTATAGGGGTGGCCTGGCTGGCTCGGTCACTGGAACGTGCAACTCTTGATCTCAGGGTTGTGGGTTTGAGCTCCACATCAGGAGCTTAAAAATAAAATCTTAAAAAATAAAATTCCCTACAAAGAAACAGTTTCATTTTTTAGTTGACTTTGACTCACTTTTCCTCTTCATGCTGCTCTTGTTTGGATGCCCATCCTGTGCCATCTTTAGGTACAATGTTCACATTAGGGTCATTGCCTTTGTTTTCCGCTTTGAGACTTGGGAGGTTAGCAGGTGGAGGCATACGCCGTGAAATACCAACTTTTCCAAGACTCTGTAATCCATGTCGAGCTGCAACTAAAGATCAGTAACATCAACTTTCTTAGAACATCTACTTTATTGCTTAATTTACTCTTAAGACAGTACAGAAAGACAACAGGAGTTAATGTAATCTGGAACCATTATTTCCTTTTATCTTAAAATAAGAACTTTAAAACTAAGTCACACAACTGCAACATTAATCCAACGCAGAAATTATATTAAACTATCAAGCCACTGAAAAGACGATTTAAACATTCTAACAACCCTATATACTATGAACAGGGAAACACAGGCAATAAGTGGTTTTGTAATCTTTTCAAAGAATCTATTTTAAACTCAAAATTTAGTATATTAGTATATTATATATTAGTATATTAGAGAATAAATATCCTAACTCCTAAATCTTTATTAGAAAATAAATATCCTAACTCTACGTTCTGAACACTGCTAATATAACATACTTGATCCAGGGTTCCCCTTTCACTATAAATACTGGGCTCAAGGTATCAAAAACCAAAACATCCCAGGACTCACTCTCTTCTAACTAGAAGCGGTAGTAAATACCCACTACTGTATATTCCTATGCCTCCCAATCTCATTGACCAAGTCTCCCATTCAGAGCCACACAGTTCTACTGACTTTCTGCTGACAACAAACGGGAAAAAAGAAACATATTTTAAAACATAAATTTGCAGGGCCCCTGGGTGGCTCAGTCAGTTAAGCGTATGCCTTTGGCTCAGGTTAGTATCCTGGAGTCCCCAGATGGAGGCCCTCATTAGGTTCTGTGCTCAGCAGGGAACTTGCTTCTCCCTCTCCTCTGCCCCCTTCCCCCTCATGCTCCTGTGCTAGCGCTCTCTCTTTCAAATAAAATCTTTAAAAAAAGAATAATAAATTTTCTACTGTAAGATATTTAATTCATCCCCTAAAAGAGGAGTACACACCTAAAAAGCCCAAAGTACAAAGGGTTGCATAAACATGGGTTTATCCTAGATTCTAATAGCAATAGCTCCAGAGGACCAACCATACTAACAAAACAAAACGAAGAAAATCATAAAAATATATGCCACTTGACTTTACTCACCTGTGGTTTTCTGAGTTTCTAAGGATTTACCCTTGTAAGTATTAAATAAACTGAGTGTTGCATACTTTTTCCCATCCTTTGCTTTTGTGCTCTGGCCTGACTTCTCCGACATTTCGGTGGAAACTCATCGAGTCCAAAACCTCCTGCCACACCCCTTCAAACCTTTTAAGACACACATAAGAAAGAAAAATGAGGAAAAGTTCAGCTTATTTTAAGAAACTTTTAGTTTCTTAAAAAAGCCTGGGTGGCTCAGTTGGTTAAGTGTCTGCCTTTGGCTCAGGTCCTGATTGGGACTGAGCTCCACATCAGGCTCCCTCACCCTCTACCCCTGCCCCTGCTTGCATCTGTGCTCTCTCTCAAATAAATTCTTAAAAAACAAAACAAAACAAAACAAAAACTCAGTAAATTCAAATGTTCCCCAAATTTCTGAAAACAAAACAAAACAGAACAAAAACACCGAGGAATGAAATTCATCTTCAGTAACTGGCATCAATAAAATGTCATACCTGTTTAATACTGTCAAATTCCAAGAACACACAACAAAATCAAACTAAACTGCCCTGCATTCAGTAAACACATTAGTCATTTATGGTTTGTAACTGCTTAACTGTATCATAGAGAATTAAGAAGTTTAATCCAGAGGCACCCGGCTGGGTCAGTTGGTAAAGCATGCTACTCTCAATCTGCTCAAAACTGTGTGTTCAAGCCCCACATTGCCTGTGGAGCCTACTTAAAAAAAAGAATTTTAACCCATACTGAAATGAATAGATCAAATACAGTACATCTACGGAGACTGTCTATTTAACAAATATTATTCAATTCGATGGGCTTGCGATGACAGACATAAATCAATTTCTGCATATGGAATGCAAACATGATAGGAGAATTAACATCATTCCTGTTTTCAGGCAGTATATATCTAACAGATCTGTAGTAATTTAACAATTTAGAATAAAAAGAAACATTCTACTTTCTCTGCATTCTGCAAAGAGTAGAACACTTCCTCATAAACCAAAGGTACCTAAAAACAATATTCTACTTCATGGCTATGGATTAGGTGTTCAAGAAATAGTGTCAACTTATCAAAACAATTCTCTGGGTATATGGTAAGTTATTTTAAGAAAATAGTATTTTAAAAAATATTCATTTATAAAGAGAATTTCATAGTTGGAGGGAAAAATACACAAATTAGCTCTCATACTATTTCCCTTACATTTAATGAAGTATACACACATCAACCTTTTACAATTTTGGTTTTTATATTTTTTGTTTTATTTATTTTTGAGTGGTTAGGGTGGAAGTAGGGCAGAAGATGGCCAATTCCAGCCCCCCCCAAGAAATAAACAAAAAACCCCACCCCACATCAATAGCTAAAGCATTAAGAACTGAAGCACAGGAGTTAAAGACAGTAAAGAATAGAGAGATTTATCATGCAAAAAGTATTCGAAGTCAAGGAATGGCTATGTAGACTCTACCATCAGAAAAGTCATTTTATCTACCATTTTACACGTTAAACTGCAGAATCAGCATTACAATAGAGGCGTGATTTCATACGTAGGTCAACTGCCACACTATGTGTATAGTTCCATAAAATTTATCAAGATTTTTCAAATTATCTCATTTCAGTACACATTTACAATAAATAACCTTTGAGATAAACTGTGAAAAGGACTCAGCTGCAACCAAGAACTTCATAATAAATAAACAGCTATCTACTATAGTACACAGAAGAATGTATACAATTAATTATATCCCAAGGATGCCAATGATGATGATAGTATGAAGAAAGCTGTACTCCCAGAATCCACCCCACTGACATATTTTCACCGAAAACCAGTAGAAATGGGAGAAAAAACACACATTCATTTACAATGACAAAAAAGAGCAGCGCATATATACTAGGTGACAAAATTAAGATTCTCTGAGAAACAGTCAACTTGTCCTTTCACCCTCATCTGATGGCAATTTGGCACCTCAACCCTCTCTTAACATCACAACTACCCATGCAACACTCTCTTAGTGGAGACCCTCACACACCTACACCATAGAGAGAGCAACATTGTAAGAAACTCCTGAAACCTAGGGGCAAACCTACAAGCCCACCTGCACCTACATCCATTTTTCTCAACAGTTTCCCTTCCTCTAGCTGTTGTTACAGTGCTTTTCAATCATCATCTACAAACTCCTAGAAAAGCAAATTCTCAGGCCCCACCTCAGACCTACTGAATCGAACTCTGAGCAGGGGGCCCAACAAGTCCCCAGGTGATGCTGAGATATAAAGAACTTAAGGACCCACTGATTTATGAAAAGGAGATACAGTATGAGCAACGCCTTAATCGTTGCTGCACATTGAAATCACCCAAGATTCAAAACATACCAGTATCTGAGGTTCTGGCTGGAGCCTGTGGATCAATGCTTATTCTGGGGGGGAAAAAAAAAAATCCTCTGGTGATTCTAACATGGGAGCAGTACTCAAAATGACAGCAGTGAAGCGGATGGCTCTATCCTCCCACTCCACTGAAGGCCAATCCTGCCTCCCGAGCTTCCTTTCTCACTCTAAACTCTTCACTGCAGGGATCTCTTCAGGCCTAAAGGTGGCTTTACCAACCAACGGATCATTCCAAATTTGTACATCCAGCCCAAAACTTTGTATTCCTGAAGAATATATCCCCCAGCCTATTTACTTTTCTTCTTTGTTTTGCACAGTTTCAACTCTACCTAGAACAGAGGAATCTATTTCATACTAAGGGTTTTCAGAAATAAGCCTACAAAATACCTGCACAGCATGAAAAGAAAATGGCAGTTTAAAAACTGTCAACAGGGGCGCCCGGGTGGCTCAGTGGGTTAAAGCCTCTGCCTTCGGCTCAGGTCATGATCCCAGGGTCCTGTGATCAAGCCCCGAATCGGGCTTTCTGCTCAGTGGGGAGCCTCCTCTCCCTCTCTGCCTGCCTCTCTGCCTGCTTGTGATCTGTCAAATAAATAAATAAAATCTTAAAAAAAAAATAAAAAATAAAAAAATAAAAACTGTCAACAGAGGGGCGCCTGGGTGGCTCACTTGGCTAAGCAACTGCCTTCAGCCCGGGTCATGATCCCAGAGTCCTGGGATCGAGTCCCACATCAGGCTCACAGCTCTATGGGGAGTCTGCTTCTCCTTCTGACCTCCCCTCTTATGCTCTCTCACTCTGTCTCTCCCTCAAATAAATAAATTAAATTAAGTTAAAAAAAACTGTCAACAGAGAAAGTATCTTAACATTTGGCAAAATGTGATTATATAAGAACTCAACAAATTGAAGAAAAAGAACCCGAAGCAATAAAATTAATGCTATAAACAGACAATTCATTAGAGGAAATAGTACCAATTAGCAAATGTATTAAATATGCTTAGTTTTTTTTCCCCCTAAAGATTTATTTGAGAGAGAGAGAGAGCAAGAAAGCACACACAAAGAAGAGAGAGAAGCTGACTCCCCACTGAACAGGGAGCCAGATCCGGGGCTCCATCCCAGGACCCTGGGATCATGACCTGAGCTAAAGGCAGAGGCTTCGTGACCTGAGCCACCCAGATGCCCCATACGTTCAGTTTCATAAGCAAACAAAATTAAAATTACAAGATAGGTTAGCTTTTCATATGCTTACACAAGGAAAACAATGTAACATTCCACCATTTAACCACAGAGTGACAGAATATCTAATTCAATTCTAGCCATCACATAACATTAAAAGCTTAGAATTATAGAGCCGCCTGGGTAGCTCAGTGGGTTGGGCCTCTGCCTTCGGCTCAGGTCATGATCTCAGGGTCCTGGGATCGAATCCCACATCTGGCTCCCCGGAAAGCCTGCTTCTCCCACTTTCTCTGCTTGTGTTCCCTCTCTTGTGGTCTGTCAAATTAATAAATAAAATCTTAAAAAAAAAAAAAAGAAAAAGGAAGCATCATAGATGACAAAAGCCTAGGCACAAGATGATGTAGCTGTGGCTAAAAAATGAAGACTAGGTAGAGGCTGCCAGGAAAGAGGAAAATAAGGACAATTTTGGTCTTGAGCTTAAGGTAGCGAAGACTAGATTTAGGAAAGATGGGGGAGAAGGGGAGGCAAGAGTTCTGTCTCAGACATGTTTAGTTTGAGATCTTTATAAAAACAAGCAGGGGCGCCTGGGTGGCTCCGTGGGTTAAAGCCTCTGCCTTGCTCAGGTCATGATCTCAGGGTCCTGGGATCAAGTCCTGCATTAGGCTCTCTGCTCAGCAGGAAGCCAGCTCCACCCCCGTCTCTGCCTGCCTCTCTGCCTACTTGTGATCACTCTCTGTCAAATAAATTTAAAAAACAAACAACAACAAAAACACCCCATGCAGAGATTTGTACAAAAAGATGCTTAAAACAAAGTTAAAAAGTACGCAGGATTTTTAAACAAATAATATATATTAAGTATTAAATGCCAAGTATGAAAGTCTACAAAACCATATCACAAATTATCACAGCAGTAGCTATATTCCTGATTATAAGGAACTCTGACCTTCTTTGTTATACATACTGCAATGTCTAAATAGAAACAGTAAATGCACTGTTTGGTAACAGAAAACAAGAAAAAATTGCAAATGTTTTTAACAGCAATGACTTGAAATGAAAAAAACAATTAGTTTCAAGACTGGAAGATTAAAAAAATGCATATGATTGGGGCATCTGGGTGGCTCAGTGGTTGGGCCTCTGCCTTCGGCTCAGGTCATGATTTCGGGGACTTGGGATGGAGCCCCGCATCAGGCTCTCTGCTCAGCAGGGAGCCTGCTTCCCCCCCACCCCCGCCTGCCTCTCTGACTACTTGTGAGCTCTGTAAAATAATAAATAAATAAATCTTTTTAAAAAATGCATATGACTAAGTAAAAAGAATTTAAAAATCTATCCTCAGTGGCATAACACATATATCTAAAATATGCAAGAATAGTAACAAAGACTATAGGTAAACAAAAAGTTGATGAGTGTGGGTTCATCTGACTTATCTGCCCTATATGCAACAAATAAAAATGGGAGAAAGTAACAAAAACATGCACATAACTACTGTGTGTTAAGTGACTATGCACTGAGTGTAACACAACTGACATTAATGCTCCTTACACCATCAGAGGTACTTACAAGTAAGCTAACACCTCCTCTTTTCGAGAACTGGCGTAAGCGGCT